GCTGGGGTAGTAGAAAGTGTTTCGCCTCCATAATTTCCACTCAAAATGACAGGACCGTAGGCGATTGCGGCGATGCTGGGGTTGTCGTTCGCAGGAATGACTTGTAGCTTCATAGGTAGCTTCACAACCACCGTATCGCCCGAGGCCCAGGTGCGGTCGATTGACGCATATGTTCCAGCGGCACTGCTTATGGCTTGGCCATTCACAGTAACTTGAGCTCCAGAAGCCCATGCTGGGATACGGACACGCATAACCCATTTGCCAGCACCAGTGACCTTCAGGGTCGTTGTATCACCGCGGGGGAAATCGGTGGTTTGGGCAACAGTGACGCTGCGCTGAGTCCATGTCAGAACAGAGGGTATGAACAGGTTGACGTAGAGCGCAGAGTTGTCGTAAAAGTAGATGGAGTCCATGAGTTTTGTGTTTGTTTCCAACCCAGTTCCTTGGCAGCACCAGAAGGAGTCATAGTCTGTACTCCAGGTTCCACCGCCCCAGGCCGGACCGACGCCACGACGTCCACCCGGGTTCAAGGGAGTGAAGTATGTGACATGACCATGACCATCAGATGGGTTCTGCTGGCCCAGCAAATGGTTGAGCAAAGCACGCTCATAAAAATCAAAGTAAGTTGTGGCGCTCGGGTTTGTCAACCAAAGCTCTCGTGTGAGCTTGAGCATGTTGTACGTGTTGCAAGCCTCGCAAGTGTCTTGATTCAAGAATGCAGCGATGGCATTGGGGAGCCTAAAGTGCTCTGCCTGGCTGTTCCCACCAATTGCGTACGAATGCGCGCTGACGGTGATGTTCCATGCGTTACGGGCGATGTCCTGGTATCGACTAGTTCCCGTGGCTTTGTACTCGCGTGAGGCACCGATCCATTTTGGAACTTGAGTGTTCGCGTGCAAGCCATTGAGGCTATCCTGGTTTGAAGCAAGAGGATCAAATATGGCGGCATGGTCAAATCGCTGTGCGACAGTGAGCCAACGTTGATCCCCGGTTTGGTGGAAGATGTCGGCCAAGACTTCATTCATTCCTCCAAATTCTGTGGCCATCATGGCTTGCATCTGGGCATACGTAAGCTTTCCCGTACGAGAGTCGACCCACGCTGCCATCGCAAGAAGAACGTCTCGCGCGTTGGTGTCACCGATGTGGCGCCAAACGTCGAGCAAGCCAGCCATGGTCTTGTGAATGGCATAGTAGGGAACGTTGCCGTTGCTGAGAGTGCGGTTTTCAACAGCGGTGATGTCAGACTCGGGAAAGCCAGAAAGGTAGCCGGTAGTAAAGCCAGCTTTGCTGTTGTTGGCTTGACACTTCTTGAGTTCGGCAGCAAAGTAAGTAGCCCTACTCTTGCATTCGGCGTCGCGGAGCTGGGCGTAGCAAAATGCCCATGCATTCAGAAAGTGGCCTTGGACGTGAGTTCTAAATGGGAAATCCGGGGCATCCCATCCGCCGTTGGTCGCCGCGTTGTTGGTTGACAGTCCATGGTTCTTGCGGAAGTTGTACAGCAAGCGCTCAACGTCGACCGCTTTAAGGTACGTCAGAGTGCGGGCCTGGTTGTCGAAGAAGCGTCCACTGCTCAACGTGACCTGGCTCATGTCGAAGGCCCAAGCCGAGACACCCTTCTCTTGGCTGACAGGAGGCACGGCCTGTGCGGTCACGTCCCAGACGGACGATCCCACAACTATCGCTAGGCACGCTAGGCCTCGCAGGCTTTCTGTCGTAAACCACATCATCTCAACGATTTGGGCCAAGGCTCGGCACGAAGGTTTGGTATTGAGAATTCAACGAACGACTCAAGCTCTGAAAGCCGACAACTCTTTGCCGATGTGAGGCAGCACCCAGGTTGCTACGAATGTTTTATAGTTGTCACTAACATCAAATCAGCCCGCCGCCCTAACGCTTCCCCATGGGGAACAACAGCGGCCTTACACGACGCAAACCTCGTGATACTGATACTCCACTATTAACTCGTTCAACGACTGGTGCGCATGGTCGATTGCGGAGGTGAGGTTACACTCATGAACTGATGGTATGTTAATTGTAGGCTTGTGCAGGCTGGCCCCTGGTTCGCCTTCCCCGCACGATAGAGTGGATGCTGGCAACAAGTCGATTGGTGCGGTACTTTCAAGCTTTCCTCGAACTTGAGGATCTGCCAAGAAAGATTCTCCGTCAATTCTCTTCATTGGATGTGACCGTTAGTGGTCAGCCTAGAGGCGGGCCGAAAACGGGGAATGGCGCATTAATGTTCTGTTGTAACCACATCCTACCTTAGGCGCTGGAATCACAAAGTGTAGCGCAGCTCATCTTGAGGGTGCATCGTATAAACTGCTAGCCTAACGGAGATCTGCCCATCCCATCACATTGCTGTGATTCACGGCTAGTCAGTCGAGTCGCGGTGCCGGCACAGCCGATTTAGTGATATGATGGATGCTTCAGGCGGACGATAATTGGGACGCATGATCTTGGTATTCAACACCAAGTCCCATTAGACATTTGCCGTCAAGACTACTCGACTCAGTGCAGTGTGCAATGCAACTTCGTCCTCATAACCCCTGGACTCGATACGAGCCCAATGATATTGATGGTAATGGAACCATTTGTGGCTGAGTTGCTGATCGTTTACTTGACCGCATCATTAAGTGGCACTTTCTGCTAAGGAAAGTACGTTTACACTTCCAAAATTCGTGTCTCGCTACATATTGATGATCAGAGGGTCGTTCCAGGAGCTGCTTGTCTCATTTCCCAAGGCCGACATAGATGACCCCTGTAGCCACCAAAGCAGTGAGGGTGCTCGACAATGTCTTTCACTCTGTGACCTTGCCGGGGATCATATCAAACTCTATTGCCAGGTTGCATGTACAAGATGAGCAGAAAGTGATAGTATCACTGGGTAGGGGTTCTTTCGGACTGACAAGGCGGCTGAATAGAACATGTACCATCGCTGGCATCCATAAGCAAGTGTCCAAGTAAGAGGCGTACGTAGTGCAACGTTCCTTCTAATATTCATTTATAATGAGGACCAAAAAGCGTCCTTAACCAAGCCAATCAATGTTCAGAGAAAGAATTCGTATAACGGTCAGCCTGTGGATAAGTCCTGATGAGTGCGTACCGACTCATCATCCGTAAACACAGCTGGCAAGATCAAGTCCCGATAGACAGGTTGTGCTCGCAACGGCCCCATACATTAGCAATCAGGAAACCCGAGAAAAGACTTGGTCGAGGCAAGGTCGATTCCGACCTTGATATGTCTCCAGGTAAGACATCAATGAAGTGACCGCAATGTAGGACGATAGTCGTCGCCCGCTATCGCAACGCTCCTACGTATTCTTTCTGTCTATTTGGCTACGCTAACTCTTCTTTCTCTTCGTAAAAGAAGTCCGTAGGCTCACAGAACACGACACTTTGGCGAACAGTCTCCACTCCTTGTAGTATTGATGAAACATCTGATCGAGAATGATTTCCAATCTTGAGCCACCTCTCATTCCCCCTTCAGAATCTCAACCCTTGGACAATGTGAGGCTCCCTGCTATGTCGTGATCGACTCCAGGCCCTGAAGCATTGCTATGTCCATCCGATACAAGTCGCGACCTTCATCATCAAGGAAAGTCGATGGTCCTTGGCTAATCATGAGCATCTCCACCTCGTTGTGAAAGACGAGAGCATCGTGAATAGCCCCTTTTCTCTCTGAGACGTAGTCCCCTTGGGCAAAGTGGCCTGTCTGAGGATGGTTGCCGTTGCCTTTGATAACGTATATCTCCGCGCTCTCTTCGTGTCGATGACGGGGAAGAACGCCTCCCTGTTCAGCGCGGATAATGACTGTGTAAGATCCAGTGTTGTGAGTCAACTTAACAAGTTTGATCCATATTTTGGGGGCAAGTGGTAGCCATTCGAGGCTATTGCAGTGAACTGTGTCACCGCTATCATGCTGATTTGTTGCATCCATAGTGGTGGACTTGGTGGTGGCGGTTGGGGCGTGGTTTTTGTGATAGAGATTAGGAAAGATTCGTGTAATTAAGATGATTTGGAACTCTCAGTCAAGGATCATGATACGCAATCACAAGACTTTTTATCCTTTCCTCTTGAAGAAACAAAGCGTTCCGCTACCTAGGTATGAGTCTTAGATATGATTCAAGCCGATCTCTGCAGTGGATCATGGGCCCAGACTATACGCGTATTTCATACCGTAGACACGTCACTAGACCTAGCAGTTTAGATCCGCGATGACTTCGCCATTCTTCGGCCAGCCTGGATAAGTCATAATCTCCAATGGCTTACCGATCCGAGGCGCAAGCAGCGACCTCCAGATGTAGAAAAGCAGCTGCCATTGGCTACTTTTATCTGTGGGCCATGTCGGCAGAAAACAAATTGAACCCACCAAGACTGACAAAGCTGAGTGACAAGCGCACAATACTCACCGGAAGATTACCAATAAATCCGTAATTCCTTGAAATCAACTCAACTATTATGGTGCCTGGTTGGGGGAACAATCTCAAGCTTGTCATCAAACATCGAAATTCGAAATGCGCTTGGGCGTTCGGTATCGGTTTTGGAACTTCGGCTGGATTCTGGGCCTTTTCCCCGTAATTATCCGCTGCGAGATGGACGAAAACATGAGCGCCTTGTTCCGAGAACGAATGTGAGCCGAGTTCGCTGCGTAAAACTCAGCTCTAAGCGGGGAATCAAGCTGTCGGAGCGTGATGTCCAGGCAACGTCTCATAGGTTCTACAATCGGAACTTCCCTCAAGAGACAACCAAAATGTTAATGGCTCAAAAATGTCTGAATTCTATTATCTAGAGCAACGTTTTCACCTTCAAAAACGGGGAAGTTGTGTATTGGCTAGGGGCACCAAGCCCGCAAGCGTTTTAATCGTTGAGCTTCGCAATCTAGACAGCACAAGGCACAGCAAGAGAGAGTCAGAGAAAAGCTTAGAGATCGTGACAAGAAACAACGACTAAGACTGTGGTTTCATAGAAATTTTCGTTTGGCACTATCAATCATCTATCAATTATAATGTATAGGTCACACCAACTGTGCAAGGCGCCACGGTCCCTGGGTCGATCTTCTCAATTTCCGTCTTAAACTTCCAGCCAGTGCAATGGCCTCCATGCAAGATACGCGGTGACAACTTCACCATATCCTCCACCGTTCTCTGCAGCTTCCCAGGGCTTGCATCGAACATGTGATAACCGCCAGAGATGCAATAGACAGTTTGCACCCCGCTAAGACGTTGAGCATCGCGAGTGGTGCTGATTACACCGGCATGGCCACAGCCGGTGAAGACGACGAGTTCCTTGTCTAAAGATGTGTAAACATCAATGATTGGCCATTATCAAAGGTGCAAGAGCGGACTTACCTCTAACGTTACACATAACGTATCTCTCCTCCAAAATTTGTTCATCCTTTATCCATGAACCCCCATTGTCTCCTTCAGACGATGGAACGAATCTCAGACCCCGAGGAATTCCAGTTTCATACGTTGTCTGTCTAGGAATTTCGCCTGAAACCACGAACATGTCATCGAGAATGGAATGTGCATCTCGTGATAGTAGGACTTGAGCACCTGCCTGCTCCACGTCAGAGAACGTAGGGTCTGCTTCGAGAGAAATAGGGCCTTGAGGAGTCTCGATGCCGCGGTATTCAGGACGATCTGAATGCATATCAACAATAAGCTGATCAGAACCAAGGGTATTGCTCCCCTTGACCATGTCGATGGCCCGCAATAAGCCACCTTTTACAGTCGATGCAGTCAGTAGGGGAAAGTAGGCGCAATGTCAAAAGTAAATCACGTACCTGAGTGGTCTCTGTGATAATGGGACAACACAATATGGTCTATGTGGCCAATTCTCGCGTTCATTCTCCTGGCATTTCTGTCCCACACTTCCCCTTCAGGTCCTGCGTCAAAAAGCAAGGTTTTCGTACTTTCACCACACTTCGCAGTCTGCTCAGAGCGTTAGCACTCGCAATCAATCATCACTGGTTTGAGTAATTTTCGAGATAGGGCTTAGTGGGAGACTCACAATCATGAGACTGAGACCATGAGCAGCGCAGCATATGCTGCTCATCTTCATCTCAACCTCTGCACCTCCGCGTGTTTGAGGAAGTTCAATAGGAGAAACAGGAATGCCCAAGGTATGGCTAGGATGTTGGATATCGGGATTCGGGGAAGGTGAAATAGGGTCCAACTCGTCTGTCACGATGACAGCCACTTCCAAGCTGTCAATCTCCCTCAACATCAACGGCGACATTTGATGACTATGTATCGGCAAAGCAATAGTCAGGCAGCAAAGGAAGAGGTTTAGAGTCAAGTTAGGGGTTTGGGGTAGACTAGAAAGAGCGAAAGTAGACGGCGTGCAATGTTGGCCCAAAAGTTTTCAAGGGAAGAGAAGGGACTTTAGATACATATGCATATCAAAGTCTATCCTGGATAGAATCTTCACACCATCTACAACAGAACAAGGCACACTATAACACACAAATACTGGGACTGAGAATAATCTACTTCCAGCAACGCCGTCAGAGCAGGACCAGGAGGAGAAGTGGACCCACGCCACCTTTGTGGAGTAATGTCATCCTCATTCCCTAGCAAAAGCCGCGTCCCCCTTCGTCAGATCCCATAGTTAACATGTATTGTGATGGTAGTGTGGCTCCTGGCGATTGCGTCACGACTCTGATATCGACTGCTCGTTCATTGCCTACAAAGCAATACCGTCATTTGTCAGCTCGTGTTGAGTGACTGTGGACTACCCTGGAAAGAAATGTTGACTATGAGATCTGGAAAGGACCATTTTGCCTCCAGCTTATTAAGTCTGCAATATGATTTTAGATTTTCAGATATGTCAGCTTCGAGAGGAAGCTCCTGCTCTAAATTGACAAGAAGGGAGATGCTCGGTCTAACGCGGACCTCACGATAGCTAGTTCGTCAGGTACCGAATGTGTCACTCAAAACAGCAGGCGGCGGCACACCGGAAGTGGGCTCCGTTTGCGATTCTCCATCCAACCAAGTCAAGCTCCTCGGGACCCATCGATTTGTCCCCGTAGGTCGGCGACTCCTCCTTGCTGTCACTACAACTTCGCCTCAGACTTGACTCATATACATTACTATCAGGTAACCTAATTGGTAAGCAATTGTCATTTCGTTCACCCGCAGTTCCATCACGCGTGCAAGAAGGGCTGGAAATAGTAGCATAACTGTGTGTTGGTATCCCTATCACAGGGATATTGGTCGATTGGTTCGAACCGTGGTTTTGACGAAGTAGGTCAATTGACTATATATTCTGCTGCGTAGGCGTAAAAGGGAGGTTTCCAACCGTAGGTTGGGCAGGCTGCGATAATCGGAAATAGGGCCCTAATTGTCCCCTGCGCAGCCTCGCCGTACGCCGAGGTCGAATTGGACTTCCAATCCGACACTGTGTTATATTGATAAACTAAGTCTTAAGAAATGATAAGTGATTTCCGAAAAGAAAACAACAAAAACAAGGAGGATAGCTTTGTACTGATTACAATTTCCAAAGATAACTAATATTTTACTCAACATATCTTGGGGATATCCTGCTCAAAGAGCATTCGAATTAATACTAAATAAACAGAATACTGTTATAATTATCTTGGATAATCTTTTGAGAATGCTTGAAAGCCTTACGGTAATTGTAGTAATAAATAAATGCATTATTATAAGGTACCCAACTACCTCTGTATTAACTCTACATGCTTTTATGTTACTCCCTTTGTTAATAAAATGTCTTGAGCATAAACCTTTAACTCAATTTAGCTTTTATTTTGTAAAAGCCTTTTACTATTTCCGGGTCGCTGGTTGCCGCTGCTCCTCATAGATATGATAGCATATTAGGTGTAGATCAATGATTCCTCTTCGTATTGACCTATTTCAGTAACACAGTGGATTTCAGTTGACTTTGTAAAAACCATTCTTGCCCTGCGACAGGGTCAACGATGCGTTTCGTCAGTAACTCTGTCATGTTTACTACTAAAACCCTGACAGAATCTGACTTGACTATACCAAGAAACATGCTAACTGCTTCGAATGGGGGTTCCAACTTATTGTGCCATGTTATCTGTCGTTATCATTCTCGCTCCAGTGTGATTGGATTGCAGGAGTCCCAAATGACTTCTAGTCTTACTATATAATTATCAAAGCCAAATAAAGTTTGGTAGATCGATACTATGCAATCACAATTGCACTTCTGGACTGAGCACCCGAATAGTCTCTTGAGAACTTGTTCGCCCTGTGTTTTGAGTCCTCCCACGATGAAAGAGGTTGACCAGCTCAAAGCGCCCAAGACAGCATACTCCACCGCCCCCCCCCCCCCCACTCCCGAACCGAGCCGAGCCGAAGACCCGGCCCGGTGGAAACCATTCCCCGACTATCTCACGGGGCCGGGACGAGATGTGCGGGGCCGGCGCTTCCTCAATTGAAGTCATGGAGTGATCTGATCTACACACAGTCACCAAATCAAAATACTACAAAACCGCATGAACAGGTCGTTACAATTGCATACTTCCGCCGCCTTAGTGTATTGGATTACATACAACTTCAACACCCGCACAACAGACTGAAAGCTATAGTAACACACTGTATGAATCGAACCATACCCCCGAAAACTGAAATGGCAACGGTAACACAGACCATTGATCGAGTGGAAGCGAGGAGAACCTTTGCTGCTCAGTTCGAAAGCAAAGATCTCGTCACATTTGACGCTGGCAAGCACTATGGGGACTGGCGCGATGAGTTCCACCGAAACGGCTGCGTAATCATCAAGGACGTTATCAGTAAGGAGCGTGCCCAATATTACTGCGACAAGCAAATCGAATGGTTGAAGAGATTTGAACTTGGCTTCGACGAGAGTGACCCTACTACATGGACTGCGGATCACCTTCCAGTCAGTTTCAAGGGAGGGTAAGTTGAAGAACCTGCTTTCCTGAAGAAAGAGGACCGGGACTGATATCCCTTACTTCTGTAGTATGTATTCTGCGTACGGTGCTTCTCATGAGCAGATGGCATGGGAGGCTCGTATGGAGCCAAGTGTCATCGATGTCTTCGAGAAGCTTTGGGAAACCAACGAACTCATCACGTCATTTGATGGCATGAACATTTCTCTACCGAACCGTAAGGACATTACGTGGAGTCCTTGGCCGCATTGCGACCAGAATCCTGAGAGGAAAGGGTTAGTTACATCTTGACACAGTCGTCTGAAACTTTACACTAATGCTTCGTAGCATGCAGGCTGTTCAAGGTCTTTTGAACTTCGCGCCCAACGGCCCAGATGATGGTGGCCTGGTTCTGATGCGTGGCTCAGCCAAGCTTTTCGATGAATTCTTCGCCCACAAGCGTGAATCCGCCGACCATGAAGACGCCCCGCCTCCAGAAATAAAGTTCATGGACCTCTTCCTCTTTAGCGAGAAGGATGTTGCATGGTTTGAAAGTAAGGGATGCGAGCTCTTCAAGGTGAATATGGAGCCTGGCGATTTCGTTTTGTGGGATTCGCGGACTATGCACTACGCCCGATTTCCCGAAGGCGATCAAATTAGACACGTGCAGTACATCTGTATGACACCGCGGAAATTTGCGACGGATGAAGCTTTAGCAGCAAAGAAATATTGCTTCGAGAATTGGTTTGGCACGACACACTGGCCGCACTGGTAGGTTTCATAACTCCCATGACCGCCCGCGCATCTGCTGACCAGTATTAGCAATATTCGCCCATCACAGGATCCTCCTAAGAGAAAAGGCGAGGTCTGCCTCAAGCACCGGAAAGAGCCATTTGAGAAGCCTAAGATCACAGATAAGCTGTTGCAATTGGCTGGGATTAAGGACTACTAGTCATCACAAATAGAATCTGAGATTTGGTATTGCGAGATAATTAGACACTCAGTGCAGGCTTCAGTATGCAGCAACAGAGCTCACTATCTCCTATCAAGTTACCTGAGGGCCAAGGGCATGGACAGGTGGAATAGAAATGTACTCCAGCAACCGTATCGTCTTAACCTAAACTTCTACGTTTTGGAGCGACGGGAATCTGGTTGAACTCGTAATGCCAGGAGTACAGTATTCAGAATTCGACACCGATGGCTGTGTGCAAATTACGCAACATAAGTACTTGGTGAGGAGTAAGTTCGTGAAGTACTTCAGACTACCTTACTATTAAGAATTTGAGTCGGACTTCGAGTCGGCACTCTCGATAAGGGCTCCCGATATCAAAGGCGTCGTGTTGGATTTCTAGGCTGGCGCTATAGGTGAAAACGATGCTGGACTTCCCATCGCTTTGAGTTCATTAGTCTGGACGCTATGTGCGGTGGCTTGTGTCCAGAGCGTCCCATGACACGTCCTGCGCAACTCACCTTCAAGCTTGCCGCAGCCTATCTTGCGCTGAGATCTCAGAGGGCTAGAAGTGCATCGAGGCAACGATAACATTCAGTATCTTTGCATGAATCAGGCTGTAATGCTTGAGCGAAGATTTAACAGTTATGAAGAGATGAGTGCCTGGGCTAACATTGAGAACAAAATTGACGACCCGCTCCAAGTGACTAATCATCGGAGAAGTTGGATGCCAATAGATGACATTGGTCCCATGTAGCCTCATTCTTTCGCCCAAACAGATTGGAAGGATTTGGTCCAGCTGAGGACAACGTAAGCAGCGAGGCCGGCTCGAAAAAAGCCAACATCAGTAGCCCTAGTTGACCAAAACCGCGTGGTTAGCATGTTAGATACAGTGAAATGGATCAAAACGCGGCCAACTCGGCTTGGGCCCGACACATAGTCCCCACACACGGAAAATTGGCGGAAAATCATATTCCACCAGTTGAAACTCATATTCCATCATAAGTCGGGCGCTAGAGATGTGAACGTGTCGAAACCTTTCCCCCGCAAGCCCGCGTAAAACCCCACCTCCGAACCCCAGGGCCGCCATTTCCCCACGGGCAATAAGCCGGAGAAGTCATGCTTCGGTGAGAACCCCGCGATACCGAAGTCAACAGTTTTTGGCCTCTGAACAACGCGATACCATGGGCATCTAACTAGACAACTTGATACTATGTCTCCCTGAGGCTTCTTCTAAGAATCTGTGAGTCTGAAAGCATCTTAGGGATGATTTAAGACTGTCACGAGCACTTGTCGGCCCTACTTAAAGTCGTAAAGCACAGTTTGAGCTGTAGAGCTAGTATCCGAACCCCTGCTCTGTTAACAGAACCGCTAGCGTTGTGAGAATCGAAGTGAGTTTGGTACCAGTGTGGAAGCACCCCGCATTCTGTGTACGACTCATGGAACCCACTGTGATGCAGTCTTTGTCCAGTCTGCCAGGACCCATGAACTTGGGCTGTATGGAGGGTGCGCCAAAGCTTGCCTAGCTCGCCCAACAGACGCCTCGACGATCCATGCCGGGAGTTGGCCGAAACCGCAGAGTCGGTAGCGGGAATTAGCACAAGGCTCCTTGAAGCGCTCTATCAGAGATTCAAGTATTTGAGGAAATCACACCCTCTTCCTCGAACTTGCGAGTAGGTCTACGCCGCGGCGACACATCATACACCCCCGAAATTTCCACCCAGCAGCACTGACGAAGACTCTCAAGCGAGCCCGCAACTCGCTATTAACAATGGTCGACACAATTCCAGACATTGCGGATACCAAATCGCGAAAGAGCGATGTTGAGCATGTCGAGCAAGATCTTCAGAAGCCACAGCTCCTCCGTGAAGACGGCCAGCAAGAGTTCCCAGAGATCTACCTTGAAGCGCTGGCACGGTACCCAAATGACGAATCAATTGACCAAGCCGATGAGAAGCGTCTTCTCCGCAAACTGGACATGAGAATATTGCCACTTCTCGGAATCTGCTACTTTTTCTACTACGTCGACAAGACCACACTGTATGGCCTCTCTTCCATAGACCCGGCATCCCGGACTCTCTGCAGCCTTTAATAGCTAATCATACCATAGATCTTACGCAGCGATTTTCGGGTTAAAGGACGGCCTCAACCTGAAAGGCGAGGAATATTCTTGGCTATCAAGTTGCTTCTATTTCGGCTGGCTTATCTGGGCCATCCCATCCAACCTCATTATGCAGCGCTGTCGTCCAGCTTGGTATCTCTCTTTCAATATTTTCATGTGGGGCGCCCTTCTTATGGCTCAGGCCGCAGCCAAGAACTTCGGCGGCCTTCTTGCCCTTCGCGTACTGTCTGGTGCCTTTGAGGCCATCGCAGATCCTGCTTTTATGTTGATCACATCCATGTACTACACACGATCTGAGCAGCCCTCTCGTATCTCAGCGTGGTATGCTTGGAATGGAATTGGTGTTGCTGGTGGTGGTCTCATTGGTGAGTTTGGACAATTCTACAGTACCGATGTTCCCCAACGATATCCCGCTGACAATCTTATTCTAGGATACGGTATTGGACATATCAGAGGCGCCCTAGAGTCGTGGCGCTACGAGTTCCTTGTCGTGGGTGCTTTTTGTGCATTTTGGGCAATTATCCTCGCTCTCTGCCTCCCCAACTCTCCACGAACCATCTGGGGCTTCAGCCATGAAGAGAAGCTTATCATGATCGCCCGCATGCGTCGCAATCAAACAGGCATCGAGCAACGCCGTATCAACTGGGGTCAAATCAAGGAAGCTTATATGGACTACAAGACTTGGCTTTTCACCTTGTTAGGCTTTGTTTCCAACGTCCCCAACGGTGGCATCTCCAACTTCTCCACACTTGTCATCAAGGGTCTTGGCTTTGGGACGCTTGAGACGGCGCTGCTTGGCATCCCGCAAGGCGCTCTGGTGGTTATCTGGATTGGTCTTGGTGCCTTGGCAAATAGGTATATGCCGGCCAACAGTCGTACACTGGTTTGTGCACTATTTATGTTGCCAACCATTGGTGGTGCCTTGGGGTTCCTTCTTGCACCAGCCAATGCCTACATCGGTCGTCTCATTTGCTTGTAAGGTGTTTTCCCTCATACACTATCACGAGATGGATACTGACTGTCACAAGCTATCTTACTGGTTCATACCAAGCGTCCTTCGTCATCTCTCTTTCGCTAATCACATCGAACACTGGTGGCCAATCAAAGAAAATGATTGTCTCTGGCATGATTTGGTTTGGCGCTTGCATCGGCAATATCGCAAGCCCGTTCTTTTACAAAACGAACCAGGCTCCCTCGTATCATCTCGGTATTGGGTCACTCTTGGTCGCAAATTGCATTGAGCTTGCTCTCTTCTTTGTCTTCCGGTATGCCTTCATCTGGGAGAACAAGCGCAAAGAGAAGCAAAGAGACGCATTGCGTGCAAATGACAATTATACCGCCGACGAGCTCAACGCCACAGCGTTTACAGACATGACCGACAAGGAGAATCCCAACTTTGTGTATGTGTACTAGTAGGGCGGTGCCAGTCCCGTTGTTTTGTTGGTGCGGGAAAGCAGATGGTAGATATTCTAGTAGCGGAAAATCAAGGCCAATGTTGAGATTTGTGTAGTCACATGTTCGATTACTGAGTTAAGCTCGTCGACGGCCCGTTCCGTACGTTAACGGATTTAAAATGATGTCAAAAAGAATCCGCCCCGGCGCACGATTGTAAATCAGAAGGCCAATGTAGTGCTTTCAAATTAAATTTCAGAACTCAAAACTGTCCGGCCGGCCAAGTTGGGTGTCAAATTGCCGAACTACTGACTTTCGCAAAGGCAGGACGCCTCAGCTTTTAGAGATCATGGTTCAAGCCGCTTATGTCAGCGGTTCGTCGATAGTTAGGATCCGTGAGGACCTACTTCCAGACGGAAACTCTTGTCCAAAGCGGTAACGTTTACCGCTGTCTAATTGCAAGACCAGACGGAGTGTTTTTCGGCTGAAGCATATGTGGATTTCAGCCAAGAGTATCGTCTAATGGAGCTCCTATCTAAAAGCAGATCTGTTAAGGGGTATTGAAAGCTTCAATATCTGGTCCTACTGACACATGTTTCCCGGTCCTGCCAAGCCTTTTCAAGCTCAGGCGATGCTCTCGGCCGCTAGGCCTGTGCAAGGCCCGAACGGCACTTATTGACTGCCGGCTCACCATACTTACCAACATCATCCAGACTGTAAGGCAGTATATAAACCCTCTTGGTAATCTCTGAATCACGGACTTATCGTCGACTTCGTCACGAACTCATCTCTACCATCACAAGTGCATCATCGTACTTACTTTGTATCACGAAGTCTCATTGACAACTAAATTCCCTCACAATGTCTTCATTCATCAAGCCTATTCCGAAGAGCATTCTGATTTTTGGAGCGGCCGCTCATATTGGCAGACCCTTGGCCGAATTTCTTATTCGAGAGGCTCCTACAATGAAGCTGCGACTCGCCACAAGCAACCCGGGCAAGAAAATACAGCTTCAGGATACCTTTGCAAACGCCGAAGTGGTCGAAGCCAACTACTCGGACGTTACATCCCTCTCCGCCGCCCTCGTCGACATTGAGGGTGTCTTTGTCATTACTCCAGCAGGCATCTCGGAAGAGGAGGCCATGACGAACTTGGTCACCGCCCTGAAGCAGGCCAAGAACATCTTACACGTCATTCGCCTGATGGGAGTTTTCCCGGAGATTTCGCCTTCACTGATTCCCACTACTCTCGGTCCAGGATCCCTTCCAATCGAACACCCAATCGCCAAACGCATCCTCGATGCAAGTGGACTGCCTGTCACTTACATCAACTCTGGAGCAACTTTCATGGACAACTTTTGGATTCAAATCAAGCCAGTCATTGCAAAGAAGACTCTGATCTGGCCAGAGCATCGTGTGCCTTTCGTGGACCCTCGAGACATCGCAGAGGTTGCGGGCAGACTGTTCTTGTCCAACAACGCGAAGCACATTGGTGCCTTTCACACAATGAACAATGGTCATGACTGGCTCACGTTCAAGGAGGTGGCGGCTATGTTGTCCGAAGTACTCGATGAACCGATTGCGTATGATGGAAGCTTCGAAGCGTTTTCCGAGTTCTATGGACCTGTTATGGGACCTCAATTGGTGCAAGTCATGTGGAATTTCTTCAAGTATGAGGAAGCGCATGAGGAGATTTGGTCATTGAACGACTTTGTGGAGAGGACCCTTGAGAGGAAGCCTACGACTGTCAGGGGTTGGCTGGAGGAACACAAGGCTGGACTGAAGGAAGGTGCCGGAGAAGCCCCCTGGGCCTCTAAAGCGTGAAGTATCATGCATGTTGCATGATGCTAGACTGTGGGGTTACCCAGAGTTCAAGTACTTCAACAAAATGATTTGCTAATCATGGCAACTATTTGATCACACGAGCTCTGAGACCCTGATAGCCCTTTGTCTACATCTCTTTCGTAATTGAACAACCTCTGACTCTACCGAAAGGAGAGAATAGCAGTCATATTATAGGGCAGACAAAAACGATGAATGAACTTTCCTGCTGCCTTCCAGAAGTCAACTATTTAGAAACGCAAGAGCTGCGCAAGCATGTATGACGCCTGATTCACGTCGATTCTTGCTGTGGTCGGATGATCAGATAATGTCGGACTCTGTCAATCCAATGACGGAATTGAGCGATTATATGGGAGGCTCTGGACGCGCTGGTCGAGGTGTTTTTGCTGTCAAGTACGCTGTCTGCGCTGGCCTCCCACTTCCTCTATGGCTTTGATCAAGAACTCTAAGATGGCTGCCTCATGTTACTAGTCTTTTCTGTTGGCCGTGATTAGTTCTACTGCCAAATGCGTCTTGCTCTGAAGTCTTGGATTTCCAATGTCAGAAAATTGAGTCAATCCGAACGGTGAGCTCATTCGGGACGTGTCGCTGGCATTGAACAATGCAAACAAGAGTCTATGGCCGTTTACGCATCGGATGATATAAGGCCTAGTAGGGGCCTGCCCCCCTCACAAACCGATCGTTTAGCCTGCTCCGGAGTTGCAGGGAAAACACTGCATTGCAAGTAAAAGGTGCAATTCGCTATCCATGAAAAAGTTCGTAAAAGCGATTTAATGATTGGTGGGTTTGAACCTGATCAGCCAAGACACTGCATAAAAAGGGCATCGAGAAGCTCAGCGGCAGGCGAAAACCCGACGCCCGCTGCAAAGGTCGCAAAAGGGCGACAAATCAGCCCTGGTTGACACCTCAAAAGGGATTACCAGAGCCTCATCGATGACTACTTTGTTTGCAATCCAGACTTGGAAAGGAAGGTTGCGGCAGCGGTTTGCTAGCAAATAACTGAACTGAGTCACAATGGGCCGAGTCAACCAAAATGAACCGTAAGGGGGGATGGTGGGGAGAACCCCTCTCTCCCTAGGTGGGTTCCGCTGGGGAACTGAATCTTGGGGCCGAGTTCGGAGACTATCGGCTATGGACGGACGATCCCGACCGTGGTGAATTACCTATAACAGCAAGAATGTCTTTTTGGCCTGTCAAATGTACAGCTGAGAACGGCAGGTATCTACGACCTTTGGCATTTTTCGAACAAGAGTGCCTCACAAGTCTCATCTTGTCAAAAAGATCCATCATCGTCGATTCGTTGCTCACTGGGGTTTGGCCTCTTCTCCTGCAGTTTACTACCGCACTTTGGAAACCGTTCTTCCCGTCCGAATTTTGCAGTATGGGTGAGAAGCTAGAAGCTGTACCTGATGAGCCGCGATCAACCAAAATGTGCAATACACCTCGAGAACACTCTTACAATGCCGGCATAGCCGCCGAGAGAACAGCCCCCCACAGTAGCATTGAGAGAAGTGCATCGCGGCCAAGTATAATCATTGATACGCCGCCAGATGGTGGCGCCAGAGCGTGGATGGTAGGTGAGTGGAACTCAGCAATGCGCAAATTGTGCACTACACGTGTAAAATGTACATCACTAATGATGTGACAGTTTTTAGCACATTTCTAGTTGTTATGAACACCTGGTTCGTGCTTCAAACTCTGTCGTTGCATGATTTGGGGTGCTAATACTTTGTAGGGGGGTTGCGAACTCCTTTGGCGTCTTTCAGCCATACTTCACCAGAGCGTTTTCGCAGCCACAGTCCGATGTCTCGTGGATCGGTTCATTTGAAGTGTTCCTGCTCTTTTTCGTCGGGACGTTTACGGGACGATGGACAGATATGGGATTCTTTCGTCCCTTGTTCATCGCCGGCTTCTTCCTTGTCATCTTGGGAATGGTTGCTGCCTCGTTTTGTACCACCTACTGGCAATTCTTTCTCGCCCAGGGTATCTGCCTAGGCCTCGGAAACGGCTGTCTGTTCTGTCCCTGTATGGCAGTGACATCTACGTACTTTGCGAAGCGTCGCTCATTGGCGTTCGGCCTCACAGCCGCTGGGGCTGTTGTCGGAGGTCTCACTATCCCGAGCATGGTTCGGCAGCTTTTGCCAAGGATAGGGCTTGGCTGGACCATTAGAGCTATTGCCTTGATTCAAGTTGTGACTTTGATAGTTGCTGGCCTACTAATCAAGACCAGGATTCCACCACGGCAGGCAGCACCTCTAGTAGAGTGGGCAGCCTTTAGAGAATCAGAGTATAGTCTCTATGCTATTGGGGCGTTCATGGTAAGCATGTTGATCCGGAGCGAGCATAAGGTACTAAAAAATGTCCAGTGCTTCTGGGGAACCTACTTTGCCTTCCACTTTCTTGCGGCATTCTCCCGGGACGTCTTGGGGCTATCTTACACAGACTCACTTGACCTATTATTGGTTCTCAACGGTGTGGGTGCACTCGGAAGGATTGTTCCGGCCCAGATTGGGGATGTCATTGGTACTATCAACATATTTGCTCCAATGGCGTTCATGACCGGCACCGTGATGTTCTGTTGGATTGGCGTACAAAACACGACCGGGCTATATGTCTGGACTGCTTTTTATGGCTTTGCTGTTGGCGGAGTTCAGTCACTGTTTCCCTCCGTGCTCAGTAGCTTGACCACGGACCCTCAAAAGCAGGGTACGAGAATGGGCATGGTTTTCACGGTGGTCAGCTTCGCATCTCTCACCGGATCGCCGATTGCAGGAGCCATTATCGATGCGATGGGGGGCAAATACGTTGGCGCACAAGCATTTGCCGGTTGTTGCATGATGTTGGGAATGACATTCGTTCTTTCTGCACGGATTTGCAAGACACGGAAGATGGGAGCAGGGACATTCGCTTTCATCAAGGTTTGATATGACCTCTACGAGATCCTCATCGTGGACTTCTAGGGTGTGGAGCCCATGAAGCCACGTTGATATCGAATAAATCAATGCCTTTGCCAAGGATCTTCTTTTGTGGTACACAGTATCCAGATAAGCCTCATTGCATGATCTTGAAACGATTGCAACACCACGTGAACACGGCGATTGCAGACCACTTTGAACTTTGGTAGTTCAAGTTCTTTCGAATTGTACACGTACAGACCATGCAATTGAACTAAGGGCACAATCTGCGTCATGTCTATGTGTTATTGTTACGGTCTAGGCTCGAGTGGTGGATGCGGACTAAATACCCGTATTCTGCCATGGCTCACAGCGTGGTTCCCGTATAGGTCTACTCCAGCGCCTTTCCTCCGCAGAAACCCCATTCCAGAAATCGTTACCTGTTTAGCTTAGATTCTCTATACGGGAGTCATCTCTACGTGGCCTTACGAGAGTTGGGTTCTTAACAGCGATGGATCACCGTGCTATGAAGGTCCATACATGTATGTTTGACTTCAACCCTGCAGTTTCGCAGAGGCATCTTTAGTAGAAGATGTCTACCTAAGTCAGGGGATTTCAACCGGAAGCCGGCACACTACTCAAGTAACAATCTTGCCAATATGCATTACTCATATCGATTCGAATTTTATTCATCAACTCTCAACAAAATTTCAAGATGTTTTTGAACCATCATTGATCAACTGACTGTCAGGATATGATACTTCCCATTCTCATGCAAGTACCTCGCCTGTGAGGAAGATAGGTTGCTTATTGGAGAAGTTGGGTACGTCTCCCATGATCCCACCAGCTTCGGGCCCGGCGAAAGCCGTTTTGATCTGCTCGATGTTGTCCCAAGTGACAGTTGATCCGAAGGCGTACAATGGCTGGGTGCCATCAGCACCCGGTTGAAATTTCGTGACCGACCACGACGTGACGCCGTACTTTCCCCATTGCTCTTGAATCAATGGCATATGCTTAGTGGTGTAGTAGTCGATATCGTACTTGGCATCCGGATCGTTGGGGAAGACGACGGTAATAGTGACGGTCATAGTGATCGATGTTTGTGACGTCTGAAAGAACTGGAGGTGTGGATGGTTCAATGTTCAGAATCGACTTTTTAGATATGTGGGATGATCGGCGGGAGTGTAGGGGAGAGGATAGAACGAATGCGGGATAAGCTCGGAATATGAGACGACACAGGGAAATCGGTACTTATACCTCAAGCTCTCAACCGTCTTGCTCGGAGAAAAAGTTCTCTCTCGGATATAAGACATGTCCAGATGATACCTACACCCTGGGATGTCAGGACATTTCTTGTACCCGAAATGCATGGCACGAGTAATAAGACGCCGTAAACTACTTTGGGTATTCCTTTCGTTCCATGAACTAACACTGCGGCGATGCCGATGGCTGATCAATGGCCGTTGTTCCGGGAGATGGGCTGTCCGTATGCGTATTTAAGTACGCGATAACCTACGCCCATCCCTGGTCATTATCGCATTCTATCGCATTCAAGCATCGTCTTTCGGCAACCCTCACTCTGTGGTCCTCCCTGATTCCTTACTCCATCCTACCAGCCATGTCGACTAGGCCCAAGCTTCTCGTTGTCTTGACATCTCAGGATATCCTACCAACTCGTGAGGACTTCAAGACTGGATGGTATCTTCCCGAGTTCGTTCACCCATACAACGCTCTTGCCCCTCATGTGGACCTCGTCATCGCTTCTCCTAAGGGTGGTGTTGCGCCCCTCGACCCCTACTCCGTTGAGGACAGCAAAGACAATGTAGAGTGCCAGAGATTTCTGAAAGACAAGAAAGATCTTTGGGAAAAAACTGAGACCCTGTCGTCTTTTATCGGAAGGTCTGCCGAGTTTGCCGGCGTGTTCTACGTTGGCGGACACGGGCGTGAGTAGGGCTCAGACCAAAATGGCCTCATCAAAAGCTTACACAGATCTAGCCATGTTTGATCTCGCCGTCGACCAAGTCTCACATTCTATCATCCGAGAGTTCTACGAAGCAGGCAAGATTGTCTCGGCCGTCTGCCATGGCCCCGGCGCCCTCGTCAATGTCAAGCTCACAAACGGGGAGTACTTAGTCAAGGACAGCGAAGTTACAGGATTTTCAAATGCTGAAGAAGACGCCTATAGCTTCACAGATGCAATGCCATTTCTTCTAGAAACGGAACTCAGAAACCATGGCGGGAGGTACGTGAAGGCGGATCAGCCGTTTGGGGTGAAAGTCGTGACGAGCGGCAAGGACGGACGCTTGATTACAGGACAGAATCCACCTAGCGCAGGGGTTATTGGGGACGTATTGTTGAAAGCCATCAGAAACCAGTAGAAAATTGAATAACATATCGAGCACCCTTTGCTTGGCGCGCTCAGTCGCGAAACCTTGAGACGTTTAACACTGCATAGTGAGCGACGACGAACGAGCATGTGTCGCCAAGATAACACATTTTCCTAGCTAGAGCTAGCGTGAGAAGTATTGCAGGCATTTCGGAGACATTGTCTTGGCCTAAAGAAATAAAATTATCCCAGTACTTTATACTCGGCTCTCTAGTGCCTCGACACAAGTCGGGCAACTAATTAAGGTAGTAAAATACGGGAATCAACTCAGACAAGACCTCCACAAATTTAGAGTTGGGGGACCGGAACGCTAGCCCGTTAAGGAAAGAAGACCCAGTATCAGGAAACACACAAAGACGACAATGGGACGACGTGCCATGAGACAACCCCAACTTCATCCCTTAGCAAAATGGTGCAGAATCGCCAAACCTGCATCTCGCCATAGTTAAAATCGCAGAATTGGACACCTTCCAGAAGTTCGTTGCTTATCCGCAGGCTTCGCTTCGATATTCGCACATTTGTCGGATTATTTAGGCACAAATTGTGGAATGGACCCCTGAGGTTTAGACCGATGGTGAACCGAGGGCGTCTTTCGCCGGCATGCCTTCCATGCAGGGCAAGGAAACTCAAGGCAAGTTCTTTGGACCTACCGAGCATTCAAATTGCATACTTTCTGCTAGAAAACCTCCTTTGACTAACAGTTATTCGCCGCTAGTGTGATCTTCAGCCAGATAGGTGTGGCCAGTGTGCCAGGGCTAGAATAATATGTCATGGATATCGGGACCCTGACGCTATCCAATTCCGTAATGAAAACTTGTCGGCAGAAAAAAAGGTGACTGCATGTCGGAGCCGTATGCTACCTGCAGAAACTCATCCAGCCACTCTGGAGCTGAGCTGGGATACGCGAGCACGATACGCATTCTTCACGACGTACATCCAAGGCTTTACTCGGAGCATGGGTGAGATAGCTTACCATTACCGGAACGCACAAACACTAGATCATCTTTCAGCGGGCGTCGAAGCAGCCAGTCTGGCTTTTTTGGCTGTTGAGCTCGACAGCCCAAATCTTCTCCTCCTGGCCAACTCAAGTTACGTCACGGCCATCCGGCGACTTAATCACACTCTCAGCTCACTCGATCCTGACGAAGCGGAAAGAGCTCTTCAAACCATCCTGCTGCTAGATATGTACGAAAAGCTTGTCCACCGGGATTCGGGAAAGTCTCAGGCATGGCTGAGTCACGCACAAGGTGGCTTGTCACTACTCGGCGCCCGTGAGACGAGTATTGTGTCTACCCCAACAGGCTGTCAAGTTGCAGCTCGACTTGTGACGGCAGTGACGGTGAGCTGTGCCACAGTTGGAGATAGAATACCTCCGGAGCTTACGAAGGCCCGTCGAAATATTGGCTATCGTGTCAAGAGCGTGAAATGGACATTTCTAGGTGTCCTCGCGCAGATTGTCAACCTTAAGTCCGATATCGTTCACGGGAGAATCTCAACATTGGACCTTCTTGTCAAGGCAAAAGGTCTCGACGAAAGAATCGATACGTTGGACAAGGCCCGCCCACCATCCTGGAAGCCAAAAACCATACAAGTCACTGCAGATGAGCGAGTCCTGGGATTATCTTATGACATCTACCCGGACCACTACATCACTCAAGTCTCCAATGCAATCTGCACCATCCGCCTCATTCTTTATCACCTTCTCAAGACTTACGTCCCTGAGGAGAGTCGCCCGAAAGAGAACACCTTTCATGGAACGAATCGCGACTCGGTCAATCAGATGTGCGCCTCAGTGCCTCAATTCATCTTACCAGGAGTACACAAAACAAATTCGTTGCCTTTCTCGCCTGTACAACGACTTCACTGCAGCACTTTCCTGGCGCCCCTTTATCTAATCAATCAAGTATCAGAAGATGAGAAAGTAAAAGCTTGGGTGCATCAATGTCTGAAGTTTATGTGGCAATCTGGACGACTCAAATCAGCAAAAGAAATACTTTATGTTACACAAACAGCACCAGACCTAGATTACTGGACCGTGTTTGCAATGACCGGTAGCTACGCGCTTGGAGCCTAGCAGAATGATCCTGGCTCTTGGATACCTCCTCAGTCATGAATAAAATGCAGAATGAGAAAAGTTCAGTTGTTCATCTAAAATAAATAAAGCCTGTGTGAAAGAAGGAAATCCAAGCGTCCGCATCAATTCGAGGTCTTATCTGCAACAGCTCAATGGAAATCTTGGCCAAACTCGATTCATTATCGATGGGTGCGTATGAATCTCTGTCTATTCCTCTAATCCATCCAATGATATAGTTGAGTCAACGACAGTCCTTTCATACGGAGTCCATTGTAAGCCCAGAATCTCCTTCGCCCGGGACGTGTTGTATCCAAAGGACCTTAAAGCCGGACTGGGCGCTCCTCCATAGCTACCAGGCTCTGGTAGCTTTTCCCGCATTGAAGGGAAGCTGTTCCAAAGTGCATTCGCCATCTCTTCATTGCTGTAGAAGCCGGCTGTTGTGAGAAAACGCTTGCCTCCGGCGCCCTGGATCTCCATGGCCCTTACGTGTGCCAGGGCGACGTCACGGACGTCAACCCAGAGCGGCAAACCCGTGGGCGGCAGGCCTGCCTTGTGCTTTCCCAGAATGACTTCCGCCAGAAGCTGGTTCGAAGTGTTGATTGCGGAGAGGGACTTGACCGGCAATTTCACGGGACCATAGATCATGGGCGGGCAGATTGTGGACAGAGTAAAGCTTGGCTTCTCGGTCTCGACAAAGTTCCAGGCCGCCCTTTCGGCGAAGACTTTTGAAGCAACGTATGCCATCATGCCATTCGAGTAAGCATCTTCAAGAGTGACTGGGCTCCAATCTTCCTCTGAGTACGTCTTTTCTGCGCCCATTGATGCAAGCCCAGGATTCAGAATGGCTGCGAAGGAGGAGGTCACGACGACACGCTTGACATTGGGGCAAGAATCCTTGATCGCCTTGAGAACGCCTGTTGTACCAAGGACAGCTGGATCAATGAGATCTTTTTTTGGGTCGGTGACATTGTAATGGAACTATGCATTGTTGAGTAGGAAGTTCACAAGACGGTAAAAGTCAAGTTTCCAGGAGACTTACTGGGCTTGCCACGTGTATCACAGCTTCGAGTCCAAGAGAGCTCAGACCTTCGAAAGCCCCATGCGCCGCAATATCTGGGACAATCACAGTGTTGAAATTGTCATGAGAAACGTCTGTGTAAGCATCCAGTACCGCTTGAGCCTTTTCCTGAGATCGGACAGTGGTGATAACGGAGTGACCACGCTTCAACAGAGTGTCAATGACATGACCGGCCACGAAGCCAGTGCCTCCTATGTTCCAAACAGGTTTTTCATTAGCCTAAGGTAATATCACTCTCATCATACAATGAATCGTACCGGTAACAAGAACTTTCGTCATGATTGTGTGTGATAATAATGTAGGAGATGGAGAAAGTGCTCGCGTTGCGTTTGTGGATGGCTTGTATGATCGAGAGACGGAACTTGAGAAGCAATCGTGAGGCTTTTTCAGCAGTTTATAAGTAGACTGCTTTATCATTCGCCATTGTAATTAAGCCATGCGTACTTCCTGATGAAAATTAGGAGAATGGTAGGCGTCAGGTCCGGATGACGAAGCAGAGTGAGCCCAGCAAGCAATGGACCTTTCTCAGTGGTTCGACCTTAGCTTCCATGAGCTTCCAAGACATTGCAGAATCAGTCATGAATCTTGCAATTACGGAGTCACTGGCCCTGGAATACCCCTAGCATCAGCATAAGGTTCGAGATGGCTTGTAGGGCGTGATGCATGCCGTAACGCTAGCCATTTCCAGACACGGACATCGTTTTTCAGAGCGAGCTAGGAACTGGCGGGTGGGGAAAATAGTCCGGCGCTTCGTGTCCGTGTCGGTAATACCACGACATTACTCAAAATGGTGCTGACAGTTAACTCCATTAGCTCCGATATATGGTTCATCGCGGTTGACTTACATTGAACTATCTCAAGACCACGTCTGATTTCAAAGCAAGTAAGTTTATCAGAAGAATTAAAAACGTCGGCGCGCCAGATTACAGTCTTTTGAATTACCACTTGAAAAATGAGTTAGATATCATACGCATTGCATCCTGATCTCCCGGCCTATTTAACCGCCACTGCAAAAGTTCCCGTCGGACTTCATTGGTCTCGAAGTTGCCTCATAGTCTGTACGTTAACTTCATCCCAACTAGGGGCAAAATGGTCGGAGGCTTTGCACGAGATGCTCCTAATGGGTTCGAGAACTACATTCACAAGGTAGCCATTGTAGGAGTAAGTTTTTCCGGATACGTTCTGCATGTGGATATGAGCTATAGTTAAGGTAATAACTTGCAGGCTGGCGGTAACATTGGGAAAGCCATCGCAGAGGAACTCCTAAAGACAGGGAAGCATACAGTGGCCGCCATCACGCGTAAAGAAAGCACCAGTACTCTGCCGAATGGTGTCAAGAAGGCTTTAGTCAATTACGAGGACACAAAGTCTTTGGTCGCAGCTCTCAATGGCCAAGACTTCCTCATCATCACGCTTTCACTGAGCGCTTCTCCGGGTACTCACACGTCTCTGGTTCAAGCTGCTGCTGAGGCAGGCGTTCCATACGTCATGCCTAACGCCTACAGTATCAACGCACACAGCGCAGCAATCAGGAAGGACATTCCTGTCACAAACGCCGTCATGGAGAACATCGCCGAGGTTCAAAAAGCGGGCCTGACTTCGATCACGCTGATGAACGGGTTTTGGTACGAGTACAGCCTCGTCGCTGGTTCTGCCACCTTTGGGTTCGACTTGAAGAATCGTACAATCACTTTGTATGACGACGGTGACCAAGCTATCAAGGTCTCTACATGGGCACAATGTGGTCGCGCCGTGGCATCTATGTTGAGTCACAAGATCCTCCCCGAGAACGCCGACGATAACTCGACAACCATCTCCCAATTTCATAACAAGACTGTCTTTGCGTCAAGCTTCAAGGTCAGCCAGCGCGATATGCTAGAGAGTGTCAAACGAGTGACGGGGACAACGGATGCTGACTGGAGGATTGATCATGAGACAACCAAGAAGAGGTACAATGACGGTCTTAAAGAGCTAAAACAAGGCAATCATGAGGGCTTTTATAAGTTGATGTACGCCCGGGTGTTCCAGCCGACCGATGATGCGGACTTCCAGTCTGACAACGATCTTTTGCAACTGCCAATCGAAGACTTGGATGAAGCTACGCGCACTGCCGTATCAATGTCGAGAGCCTCCGCAAACGATAGCGAGGCCAATCGGCACTAATCAGAAAAACGCTCGATATTACTTACATCTGATTCCTTTCGCAAACATCCTCTACTCGAGATCTTCATCATGCCCCCTTCTAGAAAAAGTACACTTCACCCTACCATCACATTTGTCATTCAATCTCATAGTTCAGAGAGAAAATCATTTGCCAAGGGCGGCTTGCTTCTCTTTGGTTGCCTTCTCCGCCTCAAGAGTTTCTGCCCAGGTCATCTTGGATATGCGCGGAGGAGGGTCTCGTTGTCCCTTGGAATTCCGAGGGACACTACTTGCTGCGACACAATCAGGGCCATCGGAATGATAAGAGCGGCTATCAGCTTGAATGATATTAGTGGCTTAACACATCAAGAGAGATTCGATGTCTACAAACCCATTGTGTTTGTAACAGACAATGCCACCTTGTCGGCCGTCTCGCCCAAAGACTTCAACTAGATAACGTCAGCACATGGAGGGTACAAGGTTGCAACCACCTCAGTCCAAGAGCGTATATTACTTACGAAGCCCATGTTTAGAATAATGCAGATTCGGAAATTAAAGGATGAGATGGAATTGTACTTGATCGCACAATGCGCCGATAAATCGGTGGGCGTGTGGGCAAGGTCGTCTCTTATCTATCCAAGTTTTGTTTCGTGGTTTCCTGCTTTCGACGACTATCTTCTAGCAAGCCGCACAGCCGCAATGCTACGCACATCGGCTAGAAAACAAATCATTCGTCGTCAATGACAGGTTGCGTCATTTTTGGGCGCATCCGACCACCTGAGCAACTGGCTATTGTTATGCCAAGGGAAATTTAACACCAATTCAAGTTTGGAGGCGCTGCGCCGCTGACACTTGGCATAATCGCCATGTGAACAGCCAGGAAAGAATTGAATGGTGGGATTGATGTTCGGAATTTGTCGATAGGCTCCCAAGCAAGGTTAGCCGATACGCCCGAGTTATATGGCTTACTGTGCTCTCCGCCCCCAACCTCCTTGATAACGACACCTTCAATTATGTATGACGTTTTCAATTCTGACATCCAGGAGAAAAGAAAAGAAAATCTGTCCCTGCCCAACCATGTTCCTTCTACCATAGTATATTTAATTGCCTTTGGTATAGTCAACCTAGAGGTCTTGAAAATGAAGATTGAGATGTCAGTGCTAGTCAATGTTTGTCGGCATTTCTTCGGCAGTATCAGCTCGATTCACGGTCACGACAGGGGCGATACTACCTGCGCCTAGTTTCGATGATTCCCAGCGCAGTCTCTTTTGAATAAAGTAAGCCGATTCGTCTTGTGCGAAATACTGACGAGCGGATTCACTTCTTTGGGACAGGGGACGCGACTATCATAAGGAAACCAACAAAGCAAGAAGGCGCGGGCATGGGTGACGGCAACGGTCGCTCCAACGATGTTGTTCGCAGCTCTGAATGTAATTGAAGACAGTGTTGGCTGGACTTGAAACTGTATCAAATCAGTCACTCAGTACGAAAATCTGGACTTGGAAGGGTCGCTAGTGAACAAAAATGCCAACATGGAAAGGCCTGGATGCTATGTGGTCGACTCATAGCTGAAGTTCGTTTTCTTCACACAACGTCACCTACAGTACTTGACCATTGCATTCAAATTGAGAAGACGAATCTGGTTTTATGAAAGGGAGATATTTGCTGGGAAAGGTTGAGATTCTGAACAGTTCTTGAGAAGAGGCCAACAGTCAGACTTTGGAATATTAGTCATACCGCCATATCCAGTAGTATTGCGATACTATAGGGATACAGAGAAGATCGTGGTGTTCCGATACTTTTTCGTGACAGTGGTTTTCTTCATGGAATAATTACCTGAACTTACCTGCCGGAAAACGGCACAAATGAGGATCACGGCAGCCCTACCACGAAATCTCCTCGTTTTAGAAAATCTAGTCTCGTCAGGTTTCAGTGCAAGCCGGAATTGCCGCATGAAGAGTTACCGGTGCACTTGCCCACGTGCTTGATACTTCCTATCTATCAGTGCCCCCATATTTGCGACATTTTGAGGTTTTTGCTAAATCAGAGTAACAGGGGTGGATTACTGCAGGCAACAACTCTCGTCTCGGTGTAGTACGTTACATCGCTGCGAGATACATGAAGGTGTCTACATAGGTATGCGAGAAGATACATTGTTTTTGGTGCACTTTATGGCGCGAGACTGCGTTTCCAATCCTCTAAGATACGTGTGAAGTGTTGTCGGGCATCAGTCGCTGAGAATTTCATTGGCTCTGATTTCTGCTCGCCGAACATTGACAAGACTCAATCCGGCCTTCTGCATCTCGAGAGTACGTGTCTACGTGAAAATACCGTGTCATAAGTTCTCGAAAATCACGCAGAACGCTTTTCAACTAGTAATATCAATTTTTCGGCCCAACCTTATTGACGCCCGCTTGCAATCAACTTGCACATCTCGGATTCTCGGCGACACCAAGTCGCGTCCTCATGCCGAACAATTGACCGAATGTGCGAATAATGTCGATTGAAGGCGATCATTTCCCCCAAGAAAAAATTGCGTGTTGATCTTTTGATCTGCAGTCTTTCCGTGGTGGCCTTTCCGAGGACGGACTATCGTTGACAAACATTGTCAGAAGAAGCAACAGGACGTGTACTTTCCAGGCTTTGGGCAGCGTGGAGCACCTACCTGTAGGTAGCTCAGAGTAATTGATTTCATCTCTCTCCACAATCTCAGCGAACGAGTATGACGTCTGTTCCCTCAACCCGGGTCGCTCCTGTCGGATCAAGTGTGACTTGAACTTATCAAGTAGGTAGTTCATTTACAGAGGCTGTAGTTCACCATGTCAAGTCAGAGAGTTCCAAGCTTTCAGTACCCGTGTCTTGAGTTTTCATTTTGACTTCATCTCTCATACGAATCATCATACATTCCTATCCAATGTTTGACTTCGGTTCCTGACTTTTGGGTTGTCTGAGTCGTTGAACCTCTGGTAAAGCCTACCAAGGTAGAGTTGCTGTAAAGGGCTTTATTCCCGCAATTTGGCATTGACTGTCATCTCCTTTTTGGGAAAGACCTTCGTCTTTAAGTTTTGCAATTGGCATCCCGGGACTTGGGGTTGTTGAATCGAACATTTCCTCTGCACCACTTATTGTATTGCTCCATGTGGTCGTCTCCAAGGGCGAATCCCCTCGCGCTTCTCCAACATGCGGTGCAATATAACTTCTCAAAGCGCGGGGTGTACTAAGTCTCTGTGCGAAAATCTCTGTACCTAGTATAAGCGAGCATTTACCACGAACGTCTTAGTTGAGATCTATTGTAATTACTCGGCGCGCACCTTGATGGCACCTTCTGCCGTGAAGCCGAGAGAAAATACTCGGCTTCACGGCCGGTGAGTGGCAACACTTTCTACGCAACCGTCAAACTCGACCAATCCAGCAACACCGACTACCGTCCGGCGAAATCACGTCTGATTGACCTTGACCCGAGGGCCTGGAAATAACGGAGTTGAAATAACGGAGTTGCTCCGCCTTGGTCGATTTCGCTGCACGGGCAGCCGTATACGGCACTACCGGCATCGTGAGCGGTAGAAGAGAAAGCTCCATGGCTGCCCCGGACCCAGCCTCCAAAGACGCAATTGAGAAAAAGAAATTTTCCACCCAATCACGAAAGCAGCACCAGACTCACTTGCGCTAGTACACTTAACAGAAAGGATTTGAGCGAAATTGGCGCTGAAGATCGAAGGGGGTTGGAAGGTTTGAGGCCGGTGGAGATATTGGTAGAAATTCTATTCCGAATTGATATGTGATAGTACCACCCGATTGACTCCATGTCCAACTTGCTCCAGGTTCCAACTACCGCAAGGATCTTCAGGGTCTCTTGTCGAGTCGACTCATTAGACTTTCCCATACTGATGAAATCACCCTGACAGCCACGTCAGCCTCGTGGCATATCGGATTGACCCGAATGAAAGCGCGAGCCCAACTCACGGCATGTTCCGTGGTGTTAGTTGCGCCTGGACTTGTTGCATCAACAGACTAATTCGTAACAACCAGAGAGGTACTGGCTACCTAATGTACAATAGATCGACTACTCGATCACATGATTAAGTCCAAGTGCGATAAGGTTGATAGCATCACCCACCCACCAGCCCCATCTCCATATCGTACGCTGTCAGAAATGACATACGTTTAGCGAACAGCAAACAACTCGCACCAAGCTTTCAACCCGCGGTGCCAAGATGGGCAATAACCCTAATCAATGACTTCCTCCGCGTTTTCAATAACACTTGTGGCTCGAGTTACGTTATAGCAACTCGGTTGCTCCCTTCTGCTTTGTGTAGAATCTTGTGACTTGTGATGAAATATATATCCACTGGGTGACTGGTCGCCAGTGAAATGTTGAAACTCTAATTAGAGTGTCCCATGGCATAAACTAAGCTGTGTCTCTCGGCGGCGGTGAGTACCCGGGCCCGTGCTTTTACATCTTGCCTGCCGCGCTGGAATATGGGATGTGGGCGGGATGACCCTTTGTCGTTATCAGAACCTTTGAGCACGTTTTTCATTTGGCAAATCACTTCATTCTTAGTCGGATGTCATACGCACGGGACGTTTGGATGCGTCGGCAGGATGAGGTTCTTGCCTTTTTAGCTCCACTTGCCGCTAGTATACATAGTAGAGCACCGTAATTCAGAGCATGACGCGCCCAATATGACGGGCTTGAGAAGATGCTTTTGCGAGCGACTCTCTCGAACCCCGTATGTCAGTATATCAAATGTGACTACTTGAGATATAGTGCTTTATTTCTGGAGTAATACAGGCTACAATCATGTCAATTTGATGGGTATGATAACTGAACATGCCTTTGGGTAACCGCGCGTTGTGTCCACACATAGTGTGTTCACGCACATTGTGTTTACGTACAGAAAAGGGAGCAATTCTTAAACTTGCGAAGCTTGGCATCGAAGTCTCTGCCCAGTTCGCCATAGCACGTGTAGATTCCACCACAATGGAGACGTGTTTGAGTTATCTGGTCTTTTCTAGCTCGATTGAAGGCCAAAGCTCGGATTCACAAAATCGTATCAATTGATTCCGGCAGAAACATTCCGATGGCGGGAAAAAGGCGAAAATGCCTCCAGCTAGCTCCTATTGATGGCCCGTGATGTGGATATTCTTACGAGTCTAGAACCTCCTTCGAGATCCATCCTAGAGTCGGACATGAGGTCGGAGATTCACCGACTCTCTAACACTACTTGACTCTAATCAGTGTCCTCGTTGCCAGAGAGCTGCTTTCCTTGTCGATTGATAAGACATGGAGCGCTATGAGCACGTGGACAATGCTCTCCAGGTCATCCACTCAGGAATGTGATGAGAGGTCATTCCCTGGACAAATAACAGCATCTACGCAAAACTGAGCCAATGACCTCAAAGACGTCCAACACGATGAGTTGCTGATTTGGACCGAAATGGTCGAAGAGGAGGCTAATGACAGGGCGACTGACTCGGAACAGCCCCGTCCCCTTCTAAGCTTCTCCGTAGAGGCGACGCCCTATGGCCCGAGAGCTAGGCGGCCCACAAGGATCATCCGGAATGTTCGCACTAATACATGGCTTATTATGCGTGGGGTTTTCCAGTTGTGCCGCAGACTCCCAATTTTCCAAGCCGAAGCTGGTTGGCCGAGGACGTTGTGGTGAGATCTAAATTCAGCTGGCGCATTTGAGTGGCAGAGTCCCAAGTAGACGGATCGCCCCGATTTTAGAGCAATCTCATCACTCTCGCATTATTCTTCAATTTGAAACAGCGGCGCCTATAGAAGGACCTATATGCAATTTTAGGTCGGTCACTATGGTGAATGTGATGTGACGCCGGCTTCTCCGATCACATCGCAATCCTTGTCTTTGGCGGGTTTGCCTCGTAAATGCAAGAACTACACCTTCGCCGTGCGCTTGGCACCTTAAGCTTATCTCTATGTCATAGAAGCTCATCGTGGCATCATTCCTAATATCGATCCATGGCCTCCAAGAAACCTTTGCTATTCGTACAACTGCAGATCCGTACGCAGGCTGACTCATGCGACGACGAAAACCACAGTAAAGAGCGGGACACGTGCCTCTGCAAACCTTTTTGTTTATATTACCCTGCCGTTGATCTGTCCCCCTTCCACAAGGTCCTACGAGGCCAATCCTACAGTAGCAACGCGCCAGGTACCCGCCGTCACAACGGTCAGCCTAGGTCAGCCCTGGCGAACCTCACCTGGGGCTGAAATAGCGAGCTGCACCCCGAGGAGCTAATTACTTGAGACGATCCATAGATTCCATCTGAACAAAAGTCTAATCGTCGGATGCTGGGGTGAGCCATCTGGACGGTAGACAACATTCCCCATAAGGGACCCCTGCTTAGCGCAAACTATCCGGCGATTCCGTCGCTAAAACAACGCACCAACCGAGTCACGGTTCACTGTTCTTCTCGACGCGCTGTTGAACCAAAGTCCAATCTCACCTTCCATCCAGCGGCGAGAAGCCCGCGGCGATTACGTTCGCTTCTGCGCCGGAGCCGAACTGAAGGCGACATGCAGACACGCCGACACGCCCAACCAACCCAAAGAGTTCCCGATATGGGCTGCTGGCGATGGCCTCTTGGCACGACACTTGCCAACCAACCACAACCCACTTACTCCATTACACTGCGACGTCGTATTACTGCACAAAAGAGGAGATTGCGGAGGGCCCTGGCAACGGGTCCCGTTTTGGTCCCAAGAGGTAGCATCCGTCCAAGGCGGCTCAAAGAGCCGAGAATTCGAAAAGTCAACGACAGCCGCGTGGGCGTGATGTTCTCAGAATTGGACATTGAGGCGATGAGCTCAAAATGCAAGAGTCTTTTGGTGTCAAATTAAGAATTATGAAAAGAGGCGGCCGTAAGTCAGAAGAGGTTAGGAGGTCCCCTCCCGACGTCATTTTGGCTTTTTACTTCCCGTGGCTGGTCAAAGTATAATCGAAGAGTCGAACGAGTCAAACAACATGGAGGCCTGTGCGTGCGGGCAAACGTCCTCATCCCACTCTACAAGCACCGTGCGGGCTGGACCATCTGCGGCCCGGTCAAGAAACACATGGAGACATTGGATCAGAAGTTTTGAAGTTCAAGAAATAGTGAATTATGGTTATTCGGAATATGTACTAATGTCGATAGGTATCTACTTTCGAAGCGAGTCCCAGCCCAACTTCATGGTAATCAAGTATATATGCAGCCATGAAAAAAAACGTGGTATCTCAATGTTCGTCCGTCGTCGTCCCAGCCAGAAAATCGAAAACAGGAATGCCAAAAATTTAGTTGGCTTCGGAGCCCTGAGCGCCGCACTTCTTGCTGCAGTAGTAGTTCAGCTCATCGCCTCCAATATGCCAGCCAGCAGAGTTGCACTGGAAGCCGTCCTAGAATCTCAATGTTAGACTACAATCGACTAAACACGGCAGAAGAGAACTTACAAAGGTGCAGTCGGGGCACTTATCCCATTGCTTGTTTCCGGTGTTGCGGTTCTTGTAGTAGTTGCATGCGCACTTGGTCGCCTCGGGCAAGATCTCGTACTTCTTGCTCCAGGTGTAGCTCACACTCCAGCCAGTGCCGCCGACGGGCATTTCTTGTCTGTTTGTCACGCAGACACCGGCGTTGTGGAGTTTGGCGTTGGCACTAGGAAAGCATCGTCAGTATCTATGTTGGCTCGGGACAAAGCTAGGACAAGGCTTACCCGGCGGCCATGAGGCCAACGGAGAGGAGGATGGATGAGAGCTGCATCTTAAACGAGTAAGGTGTTTTTGGGACGTGCTTCTAGGAGCTTTGGCTATAGTATGGGGGGAATAGATATTGTGAAAACGTGGTAGAGATGAGATGTAGAAGGTTGATTTGTGGGTAGATTGGGACGAGGTGCCGGGAAGCTGAAATACTTGTACGGAGTATGATGGCCGGGTTGAAGGAGAACCTCGCTATCTTCGCATCTTACCTCATTCAGGAAGCTCCAATCTATTGGACACTGCACTATCGAATGTGCATTACTCGACGAGAGATGAGCTCGGCGTCCGAGGATGCTGCGAATGGCCACTTCCTCTTGCGTGCGACTTTCGGTGTGAATTTCAGCGGGAACTTGATATCCAACTTTACCCGCAAAAGAGATTGATAACATGACCAGGCCATCAAGCTCTCTCCCGCGTGACGGGGCGCTGAATCGTGCAAATATGGAACTTCCTATCCTTGATAAGGCAAGTAGCGACGGTGATGATGGGGCTTTGTCTGGGGCGGCACCCATCTGTCGGTGTCTGGTTCCGACGAAACGGGGCCGATTTTTACCCATTCAGACGGTGAAACAAGGGCACATGCGCACGATTGCAGCATGTTACCCTGAGAGGTACTCGGCCGGAGAAAATCTACATTCCTTGGTACGAGGCGGGTTGGGTCTACGTACCCATGAATGAGGGTCTCCCACCATGACTCGCAAGGTGAACGTTGCCATCCGAAAGAAGGAAGATGCATGGGAGGAGAACCCCAACTTTCAGACGAACGCCGCTCGCAGCGCGGTGTAATTCAACGGCAAAATGTAGATTACGTCTCGTGGTGATTGCTATCAGCTATTGAGACACCGCGATGGTCTCGAAGACCGGTGTATAAAGTCGTCAGAATCTCCCGGGTCCTCTTGGCAACATTCAGTCACCCATCCTCATCAACTTCCCCCTCCCCTCCTCTTCCACCTCAACATCTCAAAAATCATCAGCCGTCCAAAATGGTTTCCTCCAATCTCATCGCTCTCCTGATGGCCTCGGCCGTCAGCGCCGCTCCCTTCTTCTCGGTCCCGCTCCACGAGCGTGGCATCAATCTCACCAAGTGGACTCCTGACCACAGAGTAACCGACAATGAGATTGTTCTCCTGACCAACGGCGAGGGTAAGTCTTCCTCCACTTACGACAACTCTTAAACTCTGTGCCACGTGCTGACTCCGATCTTGCAGAAAAGATCATCAAGACCGAGGACTGGTACAAGCTCCTCGATGACGAAGGCATCCTCAGCGAGGCCCCGGAGATCGATCATGACTGGATCGAGTCCGCCGCCAACATGTCCGCGCTCGAGTACGACCCCTCCGTCCACGAGAAGCGCGACTGCGCCTACACCACCTCCACCATCATCGACAAGACTGAGCGCTTCGTCGACTGGGACGTGCAGATGTCCCCCGTTGTCATCGGGCCCCGCGGCGGTATGGATCTTACGGTCTCCAAGTCTTACTCCATCGCCAACTCGGTCTCGCTCTCTGCCGGCCTCACCCTTACCGGCACCAAGAGCATGATTGTCGACGCCATCAGCCGCGGCACTGGCGCCGCCGCCCCTAACGTTGGCATCAGCCTCACCCGCACCTGGACCACCATGTCCGGCAATCTCATCCGCGGCAACGTCGGCGAGGGCTACACTGGTGTCGTCATCACCACCCCCTGGACCACCCGCCGCTACGGCCGCTTCTTCCAGGGCTGCATCGGCTCCCTGCGCCAGACCGGTACTTGGATGGCTGACACCCACGACGAGGGCTCCTACGAGGGCGTCAGCTGGGTCTCCGGCGCCATCACCGTCTGCAGCAAGAAGCAGAGCTGGATCCCTCTTACCCGCTGCCATGGCCAGGGTGAGTTCCGCTAAGTGGCTTGCATCTCACGACGAAGGCGGACCGGCGAATCATCATCACCTGCGGTGATGCATGACAACCACAATTACTACATGACGGGGTTTGGCGCAGGGCTTCTTCGACATCCTCGCCCGGTGTGTCGCGGCGCGAATTGGATAATGAGGGATGAGAGGATTGTGGATACCCATTGGCATTTTCTTCACACACATATTCTTAACTGTACATAGCTCTTCTAGAGACGGACATATTACGACACTCGCCGCGCAACGGGCCTTAATAATTTGACGTACTACGAACACTTGACTTATCGTTCCAATTTGGTGAATTCCTGTATTTGAATGCTTGGTTGACAGTGAGTATTTCAATAGCGATAACCCGAATGATGGCGCGGTTCCCAAAGGAATGCTACGGAGGAACCGGATGGCGCCGGAAAACTGCCGGAAATAAAGTGGACCTCGACGCCGGCAGTGCATCCGGGATTCGGAGACAGAATGGTCGGCGCGGATGCGGAAGGCGAAGCTCCAAGGAGGCCGACACATCTCGTTTCGGGCAATAACCATCCCCGATTGAGACTGCCATCTCAGAAGCGAAGTCGCGGAGCATCGCCCCCGGATCCGAGTCATGACGTCAGCGTCATCATCATCCCTTCGTCACGTCAGCCCAGTGACGCGACGAATATGCGCCGGACGTGTCTTTGACAACCAACAGCTTCAACCCAGAGCTAGTGAAACCTCACAAAACCTCAAAAGTCCTCTCACACATCTCCCATCCTCTCGTCCACACCAAAACCTCTTCTACCATCTCCATGCACTCAACAGCCCGTCACATTGCGAAGCGGATTGCAACCCACCCCGAGACCAAGTCCTTTGCAAAGTCTATTCAAAGAAACATGGCGTCCGGCACTCCCTCCGAAACGGCAAAGGTCCAGGCTACCGCTGATGCCAGCGCGCCCACGTTTGAGTCCGTCGGCATTAAGAACAGCGATATTGTCCAAAAGTCCGGGGTATCACTGTCCCAGCAGCAGAAAGTCCTGGTCGGCAGCGTGCTAGATGTATGCATTACCCTTGCCCTACGTGAGTAATTTCGGAACCTACGGCTAATCATCCTCCAAAGCTTTTTGAGGGGAATCCTACCCTGAAGCACCTATCCTTGTGGTCCAAGACGGCTACGTTCCAGGACAACATCACAGTCGCAGAGGGGTACGACAAGTTCGCCGCCCAGTGGTACGGTCTTCCGGCGCTGTTTAACCCCATTAAGATCCAGTCGCACACCGTCACGTCGGCGGGTAACCCCATCGAGCTGGAGTTGAAGAACAGCTACACGGTCAAGGGAATCAAGACCGAGCAGACCATGGAGAGTGTCGTGCAGATTCAGGTCGGCGACGATGGCAAGATCGTCAAGGTCAACGACAAGTGGAACAATGATCTTCCCGAGGGAGCATTCTCCCAGGTACGCAACGCTTTCAATGTCTCTGTTTCCAGTGCCGCCAAGACCCTGCTGGGGCTCCTTGGCCAGGCAAGCTTTGCCGTCTTTTGCCGCGTCTCGTTGTGGCGGCCCTTTTGGGTAGGCGGTATTGTACCGTGAGGTGACGTCCGCTGACTTTTGCAGGCTTTGCGCAAGCTCAATGCTGTTACTGTACCGGCATTTGTCAAGGTTCCCAAGACGGAGGAAGAGGACCAGAAACTGAAGGCTGAGCGAGAGAAGCAATGAGAATGTATGTAGTGTAAGAAAGTAATTGCACATAAAAATACGTGCTTGTACCCAAAGTAGCTTGCACGCATTACCCGAAGATTCGTAAAATATACCTGAATCAACCCATCTAAGTGCTTGAATTACCTGGAGATCCAGTCGAATCTATAGTATGCAATAGTAACTAGCAGTGAACAGCACCTTGATTACCCCATTGTAAGCGGCCTAGTCAATAGCAGCAAATGGAGACAACACACTCGTCGCATTAAGAATATGACTATGGCGGGAAGAAGACTACGTATCTGTCGCCTATGAGTCTGGCACCATTGATTCAAGATAGGGCGCATCTCACGTCTTTGGATAGAGTGGCAACATTCGTGGGCATTTGTTTTGTTATCGAGAACGCTCCCCTCTGTGCTATTTCGTTTAGCTCACGACATAAGCCCTCGGTGTTGGGTAGTTATCGACCCAACTCTTTCTCTGTCACCAGGCATGAATTCATGATTTCACTTGCCAAGGTCTTGGTATAGCATCCCAAAGCCACCAAAGTCCACGCACGAAGTCTGATTTACTTGAGTGAATGACGGAGGCGCTCCTGTCATCCTTCATATCATGCCCACTTCAAATGATCAGAATCAATCCCGAGCTGAATTTCGGTTGTCAATTTCAAGTTGCGCGCCAAACTCAGGCTCCTCAGTTCCGAACATACATCATCGCCTTCGCCACACATTCGCAGTCGGAGCTGCAAAGAGCATGGCCGTGTTGACAGCTGACGTAGCTCTTAGGTCCATGGTAGATGTGTTTTCCGTCAACTGGATTATGAACCGCGGCTACTTCTGGCACAAGGTCAAGAGAAGGCGCCAGCTCAGGATAAGAAATTCGGAAGTGAACGCGAACGAGGCAGGTTGAGCTTGATCGGATTGAAACAAGGTCAATGATGCATCGTACCTGACCGCCGAGTCTAGGTGCTGGACGTCGGACAAGCGTGCTATGTGAAACGTAAGCGGTGCCCTAGCTTAAGGCTGTTAAGAAACATTGTGTTCTACTCATGACGAGGAAGGCGCTATACCTATTCAACTTTGCATGGATAAGACTTTGGGGAAGATGACTCTATGGCAAAGAGACTCATGGGGCAGTCTTCCGTCTCATGCATCCTGTGAGTGTTTGAACGGAGCTTGCAAAGTGTCCATGATAGAAACCCCCCTCACAAAACGACGAATGGAATAGATGGCCAGACGGTGCACGTAAAAGCGGGGCCTCTAATGGTGGCCATGGCTAGATGAGGCGCCACACATCAATATGACAACGTCTCCGTCACTCTGTCGTTTCGTGTGACGGTTGCAAATAGGATGTATGCGAAACCATATTAGTAACTTCCTCTCCACCATCTAGAATAGGTACTATAGTCTGTGATCATGGGTTAGCAACCTAAAAGAGCAGTGCGCGCCTAACGTAGAACCATACCTCTTTGTGTACTGATACCGAGCTGCTCAGCGACATTGACATATCCCTCACGAGTGATCTTGCCGCCTTTCTTGATTTTCTTCATCATATCATCATCGCCCTGCCATGGACTACGGCAATATGGACAAGTGACATCACTTGAGCCATAGCTGCCGCGACGTTTTGTCGCAGCCCAAGTCTCGAAGCATTCCCTGTGTATGTTTTGGCCGCAAGCTGCGCGACACCATACAATCGTCTCGTTGTTATCAAATTCGAGCTCGCAGAAGCAGATGGGGCAGTCTCCGTCGATGGGCTTGCGATTCTTGTTCTTGGAATCGTCGGCTTGGGGATCGATGGGCGGGGCCTTGTCGAAGATCTCATTAAGTTCGCTGGGGACCAACGCCAATTGGTATGTGTATTCGAATTTGGCGCGGAGGACTCGAGACATGACCTAGCCATGGTTAGAATATCCAGCAGAGACCGAATACGTCTGAGTAAGAACGCACATAAAGCCAGTGTTTGCATTGATTTCCCTTCATGGCGTGCGGGCAACTACATGACGGAGTCTGGCCGATCTTGACGGTGTATACATTGCCAGTAGAACCAGTCAACTCAATCTCCTCCTCGGGCGCATCCGGAGTTCCGCATCGCCGCCGCTCGAGAACGTAGAAGCGCTGTGTTGTTGCTCGATGGTAAACTTCGTGGAAGCTTTGAGGTGGTTTCGATCGGTATCGGCGCAATCGCTTCTCGCCGGTACTCGTGCCGACCGTCTTAAGCTTCTTTACCTTGCGAGACGATGGGGGTGATAATGATGCATCATCAGAGGTATCAGCCTTTCGTTTGCGCGCCGGCGAGGGCGTCGCTGTTGCCGACTTCGGTGGGGAGCTTCCGGCAGTCTTAGAATGGTTGGATACGGAGCGGGTCGCAGCCGTCGACGTCGAGGAGCGGGGTCCCGCCATTGAAATCGATCAGCGTGGCGAAAGCGTGCATACAATGGGCGTTGATGAGGGGCACTTCTCAGTGAACGGGGGTTGGGAGTCGCTCGCAGGCGAAATTCTGGTTTTCAAGAAGCTAGGTCGAAGGTGAAGAATACTGGGAGAAATCTGAAGTAATGTGAAGCTTCTGATGGTTACCACCTTGATTGACAAGAACCTTACTGAGCGCAGTGGCAAGAGCTGCTCCTGGCCGCCCCTCGCCTTAACTTCCGCCCCCGAGGGACGACGGCGGGGGAGAACCTCTATGACGACAAGCACGGACCTTGGGTGTCACACGCCGAGTACGCGAGATCATGTGATTCCTTTGCGCACAAAAGTCATGTGACTGGAAGCTTCCGGATCCGAAAGGAGCCTCGGTACATCGCCTGTCGAGTTCGAATCCGACAAGCTGACGGTGCCCTGTTATGAACAATTGCTGGACACGCAATGCACTCAAGGTCGCCGCCTAGCCTCACATGATGCAGTCGAGTTCATATCAACTCCTGCAAGAAAAGGGAGTGGGACCAACGCCACTCCAAACGCCCGATGCGCATAGACATGACAAGATAATCTGTAGCACTCAGCAGTAGCTTGTAGTTGACCAGCAAAGATTCCATCGGTGGGTGGTCCCGAGTGTGGGTAGAGAACTGCCGCTCAATCATGCAGAAATATCAATTTCTTTCAATGAGAACCGGACTTTATCCAACTATGGTCGAGTGAAATATCTGTTGGAACCAATCGTCGAAATCTTCAGAGGGATTGCCAGACATGGCAAAATGCTCTTCCGCAACGTCAAACTGCCCGAGACCAGCCGTGGAAGAATCAAGGATAAACCAATCGGTCTTGAACCTAGCCGCAATCTCCTCAAAGTTAATAGCATCAGGCCTAGCAGCGAGTGTCTGATCAGAAAACGACTCTATGCCTCCCACCTCAGAAAAGATGGCATCAATAAGCACCACGCCGCGGTGTGCTAGGATATCACTCGTCGTCCGGCCCAGGAGATGCTCTCGCGCGTCGCGAATCGCGTCGAGGTAGGCTTCTTGTCGGCTGTCTCGTTTTTTGCTCTGATCGCATATGACCTCGAACGAGAGAATGATGGCAGCGGTAATGCTGAAGGCGATGTGCGTCCAGAGCGAGACTTCGCCTGATTCTACAATGCTTTTGTGCTCGCGTAGGATGGTGACTGCTGCTGCAACGCAGGTACGGCGCGTGTGGATGTACGAGTCAGATTGGAACGAGAGGAAGAGGAATGGCCGGTGGATCATGACAATCTAGCAGGATTGATTAGCATCACCGTGATATGTATGAGGGTTCGCTAGAGTGTGGTCAAACCTTTTCAGCGGCGGTAATGGCTAGACTCTGACGCGCAACCCCAAGCCAGGCACACTGGCCCTCTAATAGCTCATCCTTCTGTAGAAGAAAACGCGGTATTGACTGGACCTTCTCCCTCATCTTTTGGTCCATCCTGAGAACATGGGCATACTGCTCTCTTGCAGGCTTCTGGGCTCTCAAAGGTCCCATCCCGTCCGCGAGCTCCGGCATCAGCTGCGCGATGCCACCCAGGACACGAGTATACGTACTTACCGTCAGAACGACCTCCGAGGCGTCTATCAAGTCTGCATCGTTGGCGTTTCTGGGGAAAGAAGTGGAGTAGTGAGACGGGTTAATGCCGTATGAGTCGGTAAATGGAATTGCAAAGTGATCTTGAATGACCATCTGGAGCCAAACCCTACGACCTACTTCTCTTTGCAGAGTATCATCCCATATTTCATCTCTAGTTTGCAAGTCGAGGCCGCATTTGGTGATCTTGTGTATTCCCAGGCACTCGGCAATTCGAATCGCAGCGCTGAATAAGGTAGCGTTGAGTTGACTGAGACCAAGATTGTGAGCTACTTCGGTTGAGATGACGATGGCTTGGATGGAGTAGATTGAAACATTCTGCAGGAAATGAGCCTTATATAAAGTGTCGACCATGAAGTTGAATAAGTCTTGAGGCGAACAGGCCGGTAGTGTGAGCGGGTATGCATCGCGATGTTTCCAGCTGTTCTGCCAACTCAGGAGGGACGAGGAGAGCACCGCGCTATACAGCGCAAGCCACTGTGGCTGGTCGTATACGCCGGTCGCCCAGAACGTGGTGCACTGCTGCAGAAACGTCGGGCAGTGTAAGGAGTTGTGGTGCCATGCTATGTGCTCCAGGTGAAATGAGATGAGTATCTCGGCCGTGACTCTCTCAGGGAGGAGGGCAAGAGATGGGACAGTGTGATCAGGTAGGCCGAGAGACGGCGACAGACCTGTTGTCGAGGCTTCGATGGTATGATCTCGTCTTTGATGGCAGTTGCAGTGTAGATGAGGGTAGCAGTTTCCATAGCTTCTACCCCATGCCATGTGCTCCAACGCAGTCACCGTGAACGAACTGCGAGCTTTGGGATGTGAACCTGTGGCTTCGTCTTGTCCCGAGTCATCTTCAAGACCGATCCCGGACTCAACAAAATTCGCTGTCTGTGTGATCTCAGTGCGTTGCCCCGAACCAGAACGGAGACCCTCCACTCTAGCTGCCACCAAATCAGCTGCTCTCCTCGCCGAAGCGGGATCGGTGCTCTGAAGCATGTTGCGCAGAGTCTCGAGAAACCCAATCTCGGCACTGTGTCGAACAGCATTGCGCCTCAGATGGACGACTTCGCGGTCGCAATGGAGCCCTAGACGACTACATCTTGCGCATGGGATCTCTTTGTTGCACTTTCTCTTCTTCCTAGTACACTCTATGGGCGGTGGCACTGTGTCAGGACTGTACGGATAGGCCGAGCGCCTTTCTGGCTGGGGATAGAACACGAACCGCGACACGCGAGGGATTGGCGCTGCGACAAACGCGCTGACATGCTCTGCGTTCAAGTTCAACTCTCCAAATATTAGCAACTGCGCATACGGTGGTGGTCCTTTTGCTGCGTGAGAGGTCAGATTGCATATGCTGGCAAGAGAGACAAGTTGAGGCGAATGGAGAACTCGCACAATCATGTTTGGAAATGACTTGTTGAGATTACATAAGCGGATATGTCTCACTTACACAGTGTGTTGAAGATATCCTAGCAGCAGACCAGCACAATACCCGAGAAAAATCAGCGGAAATGATTCTGAGGGTTTTCTTCAATGTCACCGAAGGTTGGCAAAATGACTTTCTGTAGGAAATTGGTAAACCTTTTTTTTTGTTATGGCTTACCCGCTTTGTATTGCGGCTGCTGAGAATCTTCCGGTCACCATCGGTTTAACCACGGTAAGTAGCATTGAGATTTCCCTTGATCAAGATATATTATCACAAAAGTCTAGTGATACAGAAAATGAGCTATCTTTTTCTGTGCATCATGATTGAGCAGCGTTGTGTCGATTTCAACGACTTCGCCACCAGTTGTGCTCTAGGCTTCATCGAGACTATAAAAATCCAAATGGTCAGCATCGGCTCTTCAACTAACATCCAAAGTTTCAACTCACATGTCCCTTGCTTTCAATCCAATCGCAACTCCCTGCTGCGAAGCCGGCTCAATCATGATGTAATTTTTGATGATGCCCGTTCCGTTCCGCAGAGCTTCAACCTGCTGGTCGCTGCAGGTGCTCGGATCGAGAACATAACAGAAATCTTCGTACTGAGGCGGAATCTCGTTCTTGACACCAAATGTATCGAAAGGCCCCTCGGTGGCATAAGTCAGGTTCGTCGCGGTATCAACAAGGCCTGTCGCGATGTCCTTGTTGAAGAGAGCGCGGTTGAAGATTTGATACGCGGATTCCGGCTGATACGACGGCACGGCGTGTCCGGCCTGGTAAACTCGGATGAATGACAAGTTGCCATATTGCCGAACCTGGCCGCCTTCGTAAGTAGCATTAGTCCGCAGAGGCTCGTAGCCCGCACTGGCAAAGTTCTCTTGGTCTGCCCAGGGAATCGCCAGCGCCACTTGCTCTCCGCCGATCCAGTTGCACGCAAAGTCGCGGTCGCCGAACATAAGGGAGACCTTGATGCCGCTGTGAAGGAGGTAAGCGATATCTTCTATCCAGCCTGGCCGGGGGTAGTCTCCGATACTGCGGAAGGCGGAAGACGACGCGCTCGAGCTACCCGTCCAGTTTAAGGGAACACCGAGTGCAGATTGAACGTAGGGCTGATTTAAATATCCGGCTGTGAAGGGGGGCGGGAACAGCGTTGGGTCGATCTGTGTCACGTCGTAATAATCGCGGCCCGAGACATCAAGATAGGGATCGCGAACATTCTCCGTGCAGTATGTTTCCGCGTCTTGGCAGACACTGTTCACGGTCGCGTTGATGCCAATGTTATCTGGGTCATAGACTGCAGAGATTTCACGGCAGGCATCAATCCTGTCACGGCAGCCTCCTTCCGCGTAGTACGCATCAACCATGCTCTGATATACCGTCTCGTTGACCGTTTGTATGCCATACGTGTTGTTGAACGCCATTTCCGGGTATGAGGGCCACTGCACTTGGCGGTCAATGCACCCGTTGACGATCAGGAGAGTGTCCAGGTTCAAGATGTATTTCTCGCCTTCGGTCCCATCCCAAGTGCCGTTCGCGATCTTTTCGTTCTGTTCCTGAAAGTAGGCGGCAAAGGCGGGCCCGTACCGGCCCCCATAGGACTGAGTTGCAATACTGATGCGATCGTCGTTGGGGTGATACCCCGGGAACTCCTGGAACCAGACTTGAGAGAAGTGCCATAGAGCAATAGCTGCATTGCGACTTCCAAAGCTCGTAGTATTCCTTCCACCGCTTGCCAATGTGCCAGTCTGGAAAGTGGCATTCTGGGCTGGGATTGGGGATGAGGCGTTCAGAGTCTGGGTGCTTCCGAGTAGGTTCCTGGTCACGTTTCGCAGTGAGTCATATGAGAAGCCCACTTGAACTGGCTGATCAATATACAGCATGTTGACTAAGAAGTGTGTGAGCAATGACCCAGATTTCAATTAACTGCGGAAAGGTGCCCTCACCTTTGTTGTTCCAAGACCACTCACTGGGCCTCGTCGAGTTTGAGTCCGAGTTGATGTAGCATGGTCCATTCTCATTGAAGAGTCCAGGCATCGAAGAGCTGCCGGGACCGCCGTTCATCCATATAGAGAGTGGTGCGTTCTCTGGGTCCTCCTTGGCCTCGAAGAACCAGAAGAATGTGTTGATCTCAAAATCTTGCTCCTGGCCAACATCCTCGAGGGTCCCTGGCGGAAGCTTGATGTATCCAGCATAGGATTTTACACCTTCAGTCTCCTCGCACAGACCGGGCTAGATACATGGGTCACGTCAGCTCTTTTTCCCGCTCATGTGCTTGCCCATCTTGCCTCTTTGTAACTAATCTGAATGCCTTCATCGAATTTCGACTTCAGCACCGTAACCCCTTGAGGTGCTGGTGGAAATTGAGCGAGTGAGCGCGGAGTGAGTGCCGCCGCAAAGGCGATGAACGACAGTTGGTTCCTCATTACGAAGATTTCGTAATAGGACTAGGTGAAGAATGAAAGTAGTCACCAAAGAAAGGGTTCCTGTTCTTGAAGTCATCGTCTTATCACTTCCAGTACGGAGTACAGCTTCAATATATATCATTAGATCTTCCCCGCTCGTCAGCACCTTCCTACTTGGGTACACTCTACGCCAGTGAATCATTATCTTTTTGATGTTTGTGCAAGTCGCACCGCCAAGACAGTCGCATTGAATCTTTTCGGCAGCCAGTTTGGTTGAGCTACAAAGTAGCAGGGGCTGGGATGCGGGGTTAATGGGAACACCGGCGATGGCCAAGACTCAAATGGAGAACCAGTGCAGTCTTAGTTTGCACAACGCGAAGAGTTGGCCAATGAAAGCAATGATGCCATGGACGATTCCCGCTTTGAATGCACCGCTGTTGAGGGAAGGTTCCTATCCTTAATTGCAGTTGAATGAGTGACCAGGGGTTTGATCTCCTCGGCAACTACTCACTTTTTGCAGAGGTAATACACCAAGAAATGTCTTGAAAGCTGACCGAGGCTACCGTTGCTTATCAAGTTATCGTGACGGTAGCTACACTGCTTAGAGTCTAGGCCTAATGTTACTGGATCCATTCAATTTGCTTTCATGGAGAGGCAAATGTATTCCGACACGTTATTTAGGCGAAATAGACCGCTGCCACTATATTAAACCCTACTCACAGGGGATGGTTACCGCACGTACCGGAACGCTCGGAGTGATCAGAGCTAGACCCGCACTTGAAGACCCAGGTGGGGCTTTGTCCGAACTCGCCGGAGTGAAGTGACACCGGCGTGGGGCGCGTTCCCCCGGAGTCGGAGAGGCGGAGAGGATAGCCGGTCGGAGCATCGGAAGATGTTCTGGCGGAGCCTCATGATACCCGGATTGTCCTAGGATATGCCGTGACGCTTCGATTACCTATCCGTTTGACACTGTCCGTCTGACTCTGAACGAGATTCCAACTTCCGATGGCGACATTCCAGTGAAGATGACGCCGTCGAATCGCGTTGCAGGGTTCCCCGCAAAAAGACAACTGATGCGGCATGACGCCTTTTCAGTGCAAGATGGGCAAACTAAGTGAACTACCTGCTAGCCATTGAGATTCTGAGATTGACGCATTCACTCAATTCGCCCGTGGAAAGAGGTGGGCGTCTTACAAATGCAATGCTGATTTACCGAATCCAAGTGCAGTGATTGGTCTTTCTTGCCGAAGCAGTGTAACTTATTTCAAGAGTTCTCCTCGGATGAGACGCCCGCTTTAATTCGTCATCTAATGATCTCCACCAGCAGAACGTTCGAGTCAAGGCGACGTCTGATGACCCAATCGAACTCAATTTAGGACGATATAAACACCGGTGGCCCGTCATTCTTGTCGCTAAGAGTAACTTACCACTGGTGTCAGATCAAGTCCAAGAAATCATCACAATGGCCGCGGCTGCTGTTCAAGCTCCATTCTACGCAGGCCCCCCCGGCCAACCAGACATCGGATATGCCCCCATTTATGAGAGCTTTGTCGCCAGAACCAAGCGACGACAAGAGCAGGAGAATCTGGACAAGTGCTTACCTACAGGTTTCCCTCAGAAACTAGAGTCGAAGTTGGTATGGGATGGGAATACCTTGGCCGAGCACTACGACTGGAACTACGTCTTGACAGACGCTAATAAGAAGGAAATTGATGATGCTCTCGGGCACTTCAAGTGTACGTGAAACACCTCATCAGCGTGCCACATAAGACCTTGGTGTATTCTCTAATGTCAGGCATAGCCACGGGAAAGCCACTTGGAGACATCAGCCAGGAGACATTTCCCCTCCCAAATCTTCACAAAACTCTGCGTGAGATCTCGGACGAGATTCACAACGGCCACGGCATCAAGGTTATCCGTGGCGTTCCAGTCACAGAGTATACCCGCGAAGAAAACGTCATCATCTACGCCGGAATCTCTTCCCACGTGGCTCCGATCCGCGGCAGACAAGACAACCAGTTCCAAGGCGAGCCGGCTGACGTCGTTCTGGCACACATTAAAGACCTTACTAAGATAGTCGACCCCCATAAGATTGGAGCGCCGGCCTACACAACTGATAAGCAAGTCTTCCACACCGACTCGGGTGATGTAATTGCGCTCTTTGCACTTGGCGAAGCCGCTGAAGGGGGTCAGAGTTACCTCTCGAGCAGTTGGCACGTGTACAACGAGCTGGCTAGGACAAGGCCCGATTTGATCCGCACCTTGGCCGAGTCATGGAATGCCGACGAGTAAGCTATGCCCTGGAAGGAGAATTGATTTGGTGCTGACTCCCTTACAAAGGTTTGGAAAGGACGGCAGATCATACAGCACCAGGCCCTTGCTTCATCACCAGCCAGCAGCAGACGGTAAACCCGAGCGTTTGATCATTCAATATGCGAGACGCAGCTTCACGGGCTACTGGGGCTTGCCACGGTCCTCTGACATACCCCCCATCACCGAAGCGCAAGCCGAGGCTCTGGACGCGTTACATTTCCTCGCCGAGAAATATGCCGCTCACTTGGACTTTCATCAAGGCGACATTCAGTATGCCAACAATCTGAGCATATTCCATGCCCGTGGAGGCTTCGTAGACTCCGATGAGAAGCAGTAAGTGGTGTACCAGGTCGAAATGGATGTTCGCAAGCTGACGTCAATAGGCGGCATTTGGTCAGGCTATGGCTGCGGGATCCTGAGCATGCATGGAAGACGCCAGATGCCTTGCGAGAGAGGTGGGATCGTGTTTACTCGGGCGTCACTCCGGAGAAGTCTGTGTTCCCCTTGGAGCCTCAGATTCGCAGTGCCAGTCGAGGAGAGTTCAAACCTGATGAGAAGGCAGCGCCGACTTCATGATGCAACGTTTGCGACCTTACAGTTCTTAGCGTGGCGCCTTGAATCAAGAGTAGTGTATTCTGTTAACGGAACTTTGAACAACTTTACCAGAATTTTTGATGTTTGCTTTGCAACCCGTTCTCAGAAGGTTCTTAGATAGGCAAGCCGTTGATCTGCGGATAGGTGGAAGGTAACAACTTTCGTATAGAAGATTTATAACAAAGTGGACTTCCGTAGAAGACGTCGTGAAGTGGGCGCGTCGTTGTGAAATGATGCATGCAAGAGGTAGTCTAGAATACCCAAAGAGTGATTGCTCGTTGTTTCATAGTCATCGAGCCAAATGCGAGTGACTGACTCTTTAATCATGGCGGGCAGTATTTGCGGGAACGGGTGAAGCCGCATGATCCGAAACCGTCTTTCGGCCGCAGTTGCCCCAAAAATGGACACGAACATATCCTGCAACCAGTGCAAGTGATCAGAAAAGGCGATTCTCACCCAAGAAGGCAGCTCGTCTTGGACTAGGCAGGAAAAAAGCTTGGCCCTCGCATTTGCTCCGCCGTGGGCCTTTTCGCACGTTGCATCCCGGGAGCACCCCACAAGACGATCGGCCGGCTCGCCGGAACCTGCCACAGCTACCCGGACGGCACCCCGGCATCCGTCCCTTTGCGGGGGTGCGCCTTCACTCCGCCGACTTGCCGAACTATTAGATGCACTAGTCAGGACGACGACCGCAAGTACGTATGTCGCTGACGACCAAGGCTGGCTATGTACGTCCGTGACCCCTATCCCCATGCATGTATCACAGCCGCTTTGGCATCGTCTTTATGTATTGCCAAGTTCGGCAGGGTGTATTATTCGGATCATCGTCATCTGTTGCTAACTTCAGCTAAACAAGGGTCAGTGATTTGGATCTACACCCACTTCGCAGACTCGACAAGCTGGGCCCACGATGGATACATGTCTGTTGAAGTGAACAGGTCGGAAGGCATCGGGCATGTTTACGAGTCGGCGAAATCGGCTGATCTTTTGACGGAGACTGACGCTATTGAAAGTTTGATGGATGCCCGCAAAGTGCAAGCGCGCCGCACTGCCGCGTCGACTGGATGATGAGCATCACAATCACAGCCTCAGGTAAGGTACTAAGGTAGACAATGTAGTCAATCGCCGAGTGTTGTGTCTTGGGCGAAGCCACGCATGGCTCAATGCGATACTATCGTGCACAATATACAGTCTGCCTTCTTTCGCATACCTATGCGATCAAAGTGAATCCGAGGGGATAGATAAGCAGAGCCAGTCGAGATTATCAGCAACTTACAGGGTGGCGAAGTCGAGCTTGACATACTTTGGAAAGACCTTGCTCGACGTGCGAGTATGCTGCACTGAAGTTCCCCAGCCGAGACTGAGTGCCATGGTGGGTCACCAGAAACCCCAAAATCGTGCTTTCTTTGGGCGTTGATGGCAAGTTCGATGTAGCAGAACTGCAGCGCAATGTTCGTTTCATCAGGTATTCGTTGCGTGTGAAGGCTTTTGCAATGCGGCTTTATAGTCCTCTGGAGTTTACGCACGATCTACATATCGATATCGTGATACAAGCAATCTCAAGTGGATAGATTGCATCGAGCTGTCAAGTTCTCCGTTGCGACACAGACGACAACGTGCCGCAGTCCGAGAGCAGGAGTAAGCCAATAATTAGAGAATTATCAATCCTAGTCAACCCAGAAGACTTAGGTAGATTCTTGCATTGCCATGGATAATGTGATGGGATTGATCAATTTGCACGTGACAAGGCTCGTTGAAATGTCTTTGAGCACAGCAAGACCCCTCTAGTTGGTTCTCCGAAGACTCGACTGCCTATGTCATTGACTGTATTAGTCAAGCTGAGTTTACGTGACCATGCATCTAATCAATGCGCATGGCTGTGGCATCTAGGACGGGGTGTAACGTGTTGTATCAGAACTGACATTTGAACCAACTTTCTCTCCGTCATTCGATTCAATTAGCAGGCTGATCATATTCGACGTAGCTTCCAGGTCTATGCACTCTTCCTAGTTAGCTGTTGGAAAATTCATTGCTCAACTAAGACTTAGCTGCAAGTGTTGGTACGACCCGAGATCATCATGACCTTTTCAACTGTATTTGAATCACACCTTCTCAACTCAAAAGCTTAATATCCTCAAATGACATCAAACTATAATCATACACAAATCTGGCCTGAACCTGGCAACTCAATGCTCTACTTTATACACTACGAGAGCTCTTGCTGGAGTTGGAGAGATGTCAACTCGAAGTTTATTCAATTCGAATTTTCTTTCGCAGTCTCCAGAGACATAGAAGTTGAGTAGATGTGATCATGTAAACTGGTTGGTAAGTCCTTTTTAGTAAAGACGGTGCTCATGATATTTCCTCAACTCGACTGGACAAGTTTTTAGAGCGAAATATCTCGAACTTTCAACGGTGGCTGCAGAGCCTCTTTTGAGCCAAAGACTAGGTAGTGACGAATGTGTATAGGTAGACTAAGTATGTCTCTATCCCTCATGAGAGTGTGAAGTTAGCCATTGAAAACCCATGACTACGATATAAATTTTGTTATTCACCAATTCTTCAATCGCCTGTATTAATCACTAATTTCACGAAATAATGAATGTGCTTGAACAATGGTGTGTCGCCTTGTGTCATTGAAATTGCCTAGAATTGCTCATCCGACAACTGTACTCCAATTTTATTCTCCCAGATCTCTTTGCACATCGCGGACATCACTCGCTCAAAGTTGTTTAGAGATGGAGATCATCGAAGGTGCACGTGATGATGAGGCTCAACTAATCCCTCCCCAATCGGTTTATCTGCCCACTGCACAACTTGCCAGTTCACCATTGCATAATGTTGGACGAATGAAAGTCGCCAAGGCCAGTCATGCCTGCGTTCAAGTGCAAACCAAATTGCCTCACTGTCAAGGCAGAGATTGTGAGATAGCTGGACAGCCCACCCTCAGTGTGTCTTACACCCAAGGTCGCCTTGCGAGATGGTGCGCACTTGGTTCGCCAGGAACCAAACTCATGGTGTTGAGCCCTTTACAGTTAAGTCAGAAAGTCAGACCCATTGATTATGCATAGTACTTTGTTGTGACTGGTCGAATTGTGATGCAACTCATGGATCCTTGCAAAATTGTCTCACTACAATTGGTCGGCATGACGGAATCTCACTTGCAGCTGTCAGTGAGTTCGTTGGCAAGCTCCATCAACATGCAAACCCATCGCACAATTCATAAATCGTTCCATGCCGATGTCCGTTGTGCCGCAAACCGTTTGCATACATGTATGTTTTTGCCATACCGCTTTCCCCTCCCACGCTGCCCCCGCCTCCCGAGTTCTCGTCACATTGACCGGTGCCACTGTGCGCCGACTACCATCGCCAATAGTTCGTCCGGACGGGTCGCCCTGACCGCCGTCGCAATGCCTGAACAGCCGACTGCCGAGCAATGGGAGAAGCACAGGCCTCTCATTACCAAATTATATACTACCAGAACCCTCAAGCACATCAAGGATGAGCTGTATAAAAGGCATGGATTCTATGCGACGTAAGACTATCTTCAGTTGTTTCGGGGCTTTGATATATGTACAATACTAAGGAAAATGTGTCCAGAGAGCGCATGTACAAAGGACGGTTCAAGACCTGGGGTATCGGGAAAAACAAGAAGCGCAAGCCCTTTGAGGCATCACTACCCAGAGACGTTGACCTGGGGTCGAATACTGCCGCCGCACCTCCTAGCGATATCTCAAGCCCTACCTCTCCAATCGAACCAGCCAGTTGTTTCTCGCCGGCACTAACGCCAGGAGAGTCTCCTCACGGCGGTCATCGAGTTTTTGACGCGCGCTCGACAACCTATGTCGATACACCACGCCCAGGGACCCTCCCACCGACACCAGCCACGTATGGATACAGTTCCCCATTTGAAGTAAGCCAGAAAGAAGCTAGCATGACCCCTGACATGCTTTGCAAAGAAATCGTGACATTAGCGACGTTGATACTCTCGAAACTCGTCTCAGGGCGGCCGCCGACTTTGGCGTGGGACGACTACACCCCCAAGGACGACCACCTCGCGATATACCGCACGCTTCAGAAAGAGCTTAAGCATGAGAGTCATCTGAGAGGTTGCCTTGTGAACAATCCATCAGTTGCAGTCAAGTCGAGAATGAACGACCATGTCAACGAGCTGCTAAAGTCATTTCACCCCGCGGTACCAATCGGCATTCTAAGCTCATTCAACCAATCGTCGGATACTGCAGCCATCAACGAGTTGGCGCACTGTCTAGTGACATCCTCGACGGCCATCCTACCGAGAGACCACGAGTTTGTACAATTAGCGCAGAGAGTAGAACAACTCCTCACAAACACTCTATTCTCAGAATTCAAAGCCTGCATGGAACGCATTTGCGATGATCTGCAAGTCAACGTGCTCAAAGTCCTTGGCAGATGGAGCTTAGTTATGATTTACCTGATTTTCGTGCTGAACGCCAAAAAAGCAAAAGATGGACAACAGACGGATCCCAAGATCCTGAATATGGCATTGGAGCGGTACACACACGTACAGTGCTCTTACTCAGATGATCCGAAGCTGATTGTTCAATTTGGACACTTCATCCTAGGCTACTACGTCCTCGTCGCGTCTGAAGCAGAACTTGCGACCAGTGTGCGCGATATGGCAGAGCAATGCTACAACCGCGCTGAGGCGTACCTCTCGGAGCAGGAGTCTTCGCCAAACTCCAAATACGCAGATATTCAAGATGCAAAGTCCCATTTCGGAAAAGCATGTGCCGTTCTGGCCGACTGTCGCTATGCACAAGGCTCGCAGCAAGCGGACAAGATGCTTCGCGACGAGATCCACGACTGGTCGCGGAGACTTTTGCTCGTGTCGATAGGGTGTCACGTTGATACGGACATGGCGACGATGGCGCAGTTTGAGAGACAGAAGAAGAAGCTAGAGGGGTGGTGTAGAGATGCGGGTGATTTGGAGAGGCAGAAGCAACTAGATTGTATCCGCGACCTTATCCTGGGAAACGAGCAACGGCCAAGGGACGGTCCCCTTCTCCCGAGGTTGAAGGTGTTGGCTGGCAGTTGAAATGCGAAGAGGGGCAAGATGAGAAAACATTTTGACTCGGAGGCGGAAACTTGGTGGGAGATTGGTGCAAAGATGAAAAGCTGATTATGGGCCAGTCCAAATCACGATGAAACATTCAAAATGTTGTCATTGTGGGAACTGAACGATGCATACGTGTGTAACGCAGATTGTGTTCTTGATAAGGCGTGGAGAGCTGGAGCAGTCAAACATTCACGAATTGGCTTGGTCCACTATTTGGACCAAGCAATCAGTCGCAGATTTGCGGATAAGTGGACTACGTTGTACGTCATGTCCATCTTGGTGTGGAAACCAACAGTGGTCGGTGAGACTCGGTGAGACTGACCATACCCACCGAAACTCAGCGACCCAGAAAGCCGGACGAAAATGTCCGAAGGTTGATATCATTATTGCGCTTGAGCGGCTCTGTGGCGACCAGATATCCAATGCTCGCCCACTCAACATCGGATCCCGCATGAGACTCTGAGTTGCGTTTACCTTTGGCTACTATCTCGTCTCCGCCGTCATCTCTCGTCACTGGTCACTTTACATCATCCATCGGCCCTTCAAACATGTACTTCACTCATCTCGCAGAAAAGTGGCTCTGTTATCTCAATCCTCGTCGCGTTGATGTAATCCGAAAATGACATCACAAACACTTCAACTGAAATATCGATCCGGCAGATTCAATACTTAAGCGGACAATGACTGATGAAGGGTGTGAGCTTTTCGGATCATTCTAACAACACAATCACAATTCCAAGGCGTAGGATCAATCATCACCGACAGACCATCGCCAACTCCCGATTCAACCAATCACAAGCTTAATCCATACCTTGTAACTCTTCGTCCAATCAAAATGTCAGTCAACCGTAACGTTGAGTCCATCAACAACAAGCAGGGCGAGTTCCACCCCAGCGTCCCTCGTTCAGAGCCCCTCACAACCAAAGGCGTAAGTTCATCAATCCCAATCCCAAGCATTCGTAATCACTCCCCCTGTCTAACCAACCAATAGCACGCCCCTGGCACCAAAGTCGGCAACGACGCATACCCCGAGTTCCACGCCCAAGCATACCCTGCCGGCACAGCACCCAGAGAAAACACCTTCCAGCCCCAGAACGCGCAAGAGATCCCCGGCCAGGCTCTGAACCCCGAGGCTACCACGTATACGGCCGCGCACGATTTCCCTGGTGCCACGAGCGGGGACGTCCACACTGGGCTGGGTAAACCTGTACAGGGCCAAACTAGCGCCGAGCTGCACGGGGCTAACCTTGGTCGCCGTGACAAAGAGAGCGCCGGACTTGAGGGAGTTGGAGCTTTTGGCAAGCACAACTTCAGAGAGCGGCGGTTGGATGTTGACCAGGAGCCCGATGCTCGTGGCAAGACGAAGAATGCATCGAATGTTCTCGGCGCGGAAGAGAGATTACCTGTGTCGGCTGAAGCGGTCGCCAGTGAGCGTCGATAAGTCAGCGACTTTTGTACCAGTACCTTGATGTCACGAGCATGAATGAAATCCTCACGAGCTTGGGAAAACGTAATTTGGCCCGAATTGTAAATATTCACGCCCAATTTATTGCATGTTTTAAGTGCATCCGCTGTCCCTTATCCTCCTAAACGCCCTTGTAGCCTTACTCGTAATGCATCTTGATTCCAGTGTTCTAACCCAAATACACTACGAGAGAAGAAAATCGCGCCATGTTCCAAAGTTACATCGGTTCACACAAAGATGACCCGGCGTGTCACCATCTAAATGGATCGGTTCTTGGTCTTGCTAGCGTTGGAAGGCGCAGTCTTCTTGAGAGTGAGAACGATCTTGTCTTCAGTGGTGGTGTCGCTAGTGTCGTTCCACTTGAGAGAGTAGATGCCGTTGATGGAGCTGGGGGTAGCATACCACAGCGACTCCATGCCGCCAGAGGAGGACTCGACGAAAATGAAGGAACCGTAAAAGACGAAGCCGCTGGTCTGGCGGTCGGAAGAGGATGAGTTGGAGCTGAGAAAGCCGACGTCATGGTCCGAAGAGCCCTCGGCGGGGATGGAGAAGGTGAGGTTGGACCAGCTGGGAGGGGAGGTAGAGTTGAGAGCCGTAGTGTTGGGGGCTCCGATCCAGCCGTTGTTGTCGGTGGGGGTGACTATGAAGTGTATTAGTTGCTGGTCGGATATTAAACCGGAAGATGGTGACGTACAGATCACCGGGGCGGCGTTAGAGTCGTTGAACTTGGTGTGATCACCAAAGTAAGCGTCGCCTAGTCACAATCGTGTTAGTCTAAGGCTTTCCTAGGGGGGGTTTCGCAACCCGGGCTGGACGGGTTATCAACAAAAGAGAGACAGGAAGAGAATGATGGTAAAGCTCCTAATAGAACTTTACGAATTCTCTTGAGATAAAAGTTCTTAAACCAGCCTTACTACCTCCTGCAGAGAACATGGACAGGCCGCCGATTCCTTGGCCGTAGGCGTAGACCTGGAAAGGGCTGGTGTTATCACTGGCGACAGCGCGGGGTTCCGAAGGAGCCGCAACCGCAAGAGCGGCGAACGACAACAGGATAGTGCCGAAGGACTGCATTTTTGCGTATGGGGTTGTTGAGCTGTGTCTCGAAAAGAAAGGAGTTGTGATGGAGTAAACGACTGGATGAGACTGTAAGGAGACTCGATGGGGGATAACGATGGACTGAATGAGAGTGATCGTGGTGAAAGGAACCGGAGTGGTGGGGGGGGGCCGGGGAAGTGAAGCTGGAGAGGGGATGGAGTTGGTTAAATAAAAGTGCGGTTAGTCGATGCCGGTCGGATGATCCGCCTCAAGCCGCCCTGGCCGGCATGTCATGACTTGTAACTCTACGTGCAAATTTTCGGGCTACGCCACCGCGGCACCACAACTCATCCAAGTCAGGTAGCAAAGGCCCGAAGACGGTTCCTGTTGGCTATGGTTGCAAGGTAAACTTTGGTTTCCCAAACCAGGTTGTAACCAACAAATCACTGCGCGGATGCGGAATAGGCGCGTTGACTCTTGAGGCTCGGACTCCACCGTGTTGATCACAGTGGAGGCACAATCAACCCCGTCAACCACAGATAGTGTAGTTGAGACCATCACAACCTCCTTGACGCATCGGTCATTGCCGTTCGGCATCCAGTCAAGCTTTTGCCGCGAGATTGGACGGAAACGGCCATTGGCCATTCAGATCCAGCGGGAGCGCCGTTGTCGTTTACTTGCGGCTAGGGCCATCCCGGGAGGGGCGCCTGTCAACGGGGGTTTTCAGAGTTCTCGTTTCGGTATGTGGGATGAACAGGGGCCCGTGATAGGGCCCGGGATCTGTGGATACTGATTCCCGGGGTGAGCTTGATATATAGCAGGGATGCTATAAGTCTGGCCCATCACATCTCATCCATCATCGTCACAAAAGGGGGATGGTGTCGCCATGGGACCGCGTAAGGAGAGGAGGCTGCGCAAGGGACCACGAACTCCTCCTCTCCCAGCATGCAGTGTAACGAACCCACTCAAGGCCACCTACATAGATTGATAGTCTTCGCAGACGGCCACCCGCGAGGCTCAAGCTATGCCGCACAGACATTCCCCTTCCGCAAAGCGGAGCCGGAAGTTTCTAAATCAGGAGTGATCTGGTGGGGCTCATCGGCCGGCTTGGCTCTCCGGAGTGCCTCCCACCCTCCCGACAAGTCGGGCAGACCGGCCACCCAAGTCTGACGGTTCTACCGTCGGCACACCGGCCCTTGATCGTCTCCCCTTCACATCCACTTGATAAACCCATCACGCCTGTCGACAAGTTGAGTTGCCGTGCCTTGCGAGGCTGCAGTGGAGCACAACACCCTACCAACCCCAGCTTCCCCTGACCTATGCCTCGCATAGAGGAAATAAGACTCAGCTGCTTGCGAGTCAGCCCAACTGCGGTTCGTCTTCCACGTACCACCTTACGACCCCCGTACAGCCCGCGCATGGATCTCAAAGGGGTCAGTCTCAGGTTAACCCCTTCGGGCCTTCATCGACATGGGAATTATCGTGAAATCATCTGCATCCAGAATGTTTTTCCTTCGCTGAATCTCGAGCCGGACTAGCCTTTGCATTGACGATCTTTAACCTACTGGGGCAAGTGCGAGCTGTGGTGCCAGTGGATAGCTTCGGGATGCCCATGGTATCGTCAGATTCGGTTCAAGCGGCTCCAAAGGAAACAGGACCGATTGATGACTTCTGTCATTGTGGACCGAATGAGGAAACACCTGCAGGGTAAACACACCCAAGTTCAACGGGGAAATAGAGTTTTTAGCATCCGTTGACTATCGCGCTTCCCGTGAGCCGCCCGTGAAGCCGACATTGCGTTGCGGGCTCACAAGAATACTTAAGCGATAGACATCCGTTGCTTGTTTGATGCTATTCTCACTCACTCCTCACCCAGCACAGTATTGGCTGCGCTTCCATTCGCTTTCGTCTTTCCTCCCTCACTCCCTCTTCAGTCCTTCCAACTTGTGTCATATAGTCTTTCTTTTAACCTTCTCTTGGCACACACAATCACTACATCATCATGTTCAAGTCTCTCTTCATGGCCGGTGCCCTTGCGGGTTCCATGGCCTCTGCCTTGCCCGGATTCGGCGCCCTCTCTGATGGCCCCGAGGCCCAGCTCTTCCCTCGTGCTACCTGCAGCGGCAACACTGCAAGCACAAGAAGCGAGTGGTGCGACTACTCCGTCGACACCGACTACTGGACCGAGGCGCCCGACACCGGTGTCACCCGCGAGTACTACCTTGAGTTGACCGACGTCACCGTCGCTCCCGATGGTGTCTCCCGCTCCGCCATGGCCGTCAACGGCTCCATTCCGGGCCCGACCATCTTCGCCGACTGGGGTGACACCGTCGTCGTTCACGTCACCAACTCTCTGACGACCTCCAACAACGGCACCAGCATTCACTTCCACGGCATTCGCCAGAACTACACCAACCAGAACGACGGCGTCAGCTCCATCACTCAGTGCCCCACGGCCCCCAACGACACCATCACCTACACCTGGAGAGCTCTGCAGTACGGTTCTACCTGGTACCACTCCCACTTCGCTCTTCAGGCGTGGCAGGGTATCTTTGGCGGCATCATCATCAACGGCCCCGCCACTGCCAACTACGATGAGGACCTCGGCATGATGTTCCTCAACGACTGGGATCACCAGACCGTCGACGAGCTCTACTCCACTGCCGAGACCTCCGGCCCGCCGACGCTCGACAACGGTCTCATCAACGGTACCAACGTCTACGGCGACGACGACTCCACCACACAGACCGGCTACCGCTACAACGTCACCTGGACCTCCGGCACCTCCTACCGTCTGAGACTTGTCAACGCCGCCGTCGACACCCACTGGAAGTTCATGATTGACAACCACACCATGGAGGTCATCGCTTCCGATCTGGTTCCCATCACCCCCTACAACGCCACCGTCCTCGACATCGGCATGGGCCAGCGCTACGACATCATCGTCACTGCAGACCAGGCCGACGTCGCCGACAACTTCTGGATCCGCGCAATTCCCCAGTCCGCCTGCTCCGACAACGATAGCACAGACAACATCAAGGGTATCATCTCCTACACCGGCACCATCACCACCCCCACCACCAGCGCCTACTCCTACACCGACTCTTGCGACGACGAGACGGACAACATCTCCCCCTACGTCTCCAAGACGGTTGACAGCGCCAACTGGGATGAGCTCGAGAGCGCCTCCGTCAGCAAGAACACCGCCGGCCTCTTCAAGTGGTACCTCAACAGCACTTCCATGCTCGTCGACTGGGCCAACCCGACCCTCGAGTCCGTTATCAACGGTAACACCACCTGGGAGGACGACGACGCCGTCATCCAGCTCGACGAGGCCAACCAGTGGGTCTACTTTGTCATCGAGACCACCCTCGCCGTCCCCCACCCCATCCATCTCCACGGCCACGACTTCTTCATCCTTGCACAGGGCTCCGGAACCTACTCCAGCTCCATCACTCTCAACACTAGCAACCCGCCCCGTCGCGATACCGCTATGCTTCCCTCCTCTGGATACCTCGTTATGGCCTGGGAGACTGACAACCCGGGCGCCTGGCTCATGCACTGCCACATTGGCTGGCACACGTCCGAGGGTTTCTCGATGCAGTTTGTCGAGCGCTACAGCGAGATTGCTGCCATCACTGATAACTCTACCCTCACCGATACTTGCGACACCTGGACCACCTTCCAGGAGGAGTACTCCATCGAGCAGGAGGACTCTGGTGTCTAAATGGCTTATGAAGAATATCTACAGTACGGCACAATCATTGGGTAGACTAGCATCGGGTTAGCGGTTTCCTTGAGTCTTGATAAAGGGGCGGGTTGGCGAATAGGGTTTCGATTTGTGTATCACATAGTTCAAGTTCCATCCATACACGAAAAAGGAAATTATTATATTTTGACCGCGTTTGCCATCTTGATTGTTAGTGAAATGTGATAGTTCG